CTTGTCTGAAAGCAGTGTAAAAATCTCTTTCTGACACATGGCTCCGCCGTTCTACAATTGAATTTCGTCTTGCAAGAACGCTCCGACTGGATTCTGATGCTCACGTGTGTGTGTATAGGACAACAAATTAAAAAAAGCAATTAATTTAGCAATCTTAATTAATTTAGAAATCTTTTCCCAATAAAGCCTTATATGCTCAATATGGGGCTCAATTATGCATACATATATAGGCACAAAGGCATCACCTATATATATATGCACGCATAATTAATTAAAATGTATGTTTAAGGTTTTGAACCCAGCACATAATTTACGAGTTGATGGATACTGAGGAGCTGCCAATACCCAAGTGTGCAGCATATAACTGTAACTATTTTCATGTTTGGAAACAATAACTCCCTAAAGAAAATCTCAAACACAATAAGGAGTTGTGACTCAAAAGTAAATACAGTGCCAACCAGCACTTAACATCCATCAATTAATACTTAGCTTGGGAAATCATTGAGATGCACCCATCTGTATACATTAACTATATAGTGTTGTTATTATAATATCTGTGATGAAATCTTCCAAAAAAGGTCAAAAAGGTAAAAAAATAAATAAAATAAAAAGGCCAAGAAGGTACATTTACTCTGCTCAAGCAGAGTAAATGTATCCAAAAAAATCATGTACTACGCTAATTGCAGTAAAAACTGTTGTTTGATTATTTTTTCAAGAAATAGTTGTATACTCCCTTGAAAAATGCAAAAAGAGAATATGATCAACTTGAATTACTGCATGTACAATTGAAAAATGCACGAGAATCCATTAAATTACAGGTGCATTGCAAATGAATATCTTTGCATATGTACAGTATAGATTACTGATCTACATCATGCGTGGGATGAGGATTATTTTCAAAAGTTCAAATTTTGGATCAATGGATCAATTTTGGATGCATGTACAAAGCTGTGAATTAAGCATCATGATCACTTTCATATTCTTAATTTAAACCTTTGCAGAATGTAGGAAAACTTATCAAGATACTGCAGATTTGATTTTGATTTTAAATCAAATGAATTGAATCCTCTTCATCTCACCTATAAACAAAGGAAAGTCGATGCTCTGCCATAGCGTCCCAGCACACTCGAAACGTCTGCTCAATAAGAGCTCCCTCCTTCCAAGATGACATGCTGGAAAGTGAGAGAGGTGAAGTGAACAGCTCTATGTTGCCACTTCATTCCTTGCTTCTCGACAACTCCTTGGCATGGCGCGGATTTTTTTCTTCGTTTTCTGGTCTGGCAAGATAAGTGTGGAATTGTTCCTGCCTTGATGCCATCTCCAAGTTGTGAAGTTTCATTCCGTGTACAGGGGTTTACACAATACTGTATTTAGAGTTTCAGAAAAATAGTCGGAATCCTGCTTTTATCAATTTATCTTTGAGTTGGACGATTCGTGTTGTTTTCTGTGTGATGCCAAATTTTGTTATCTGCAGTGTTCCTGATGTATGGGTGTTTTGTGCATGAAGCAAATTTTGATTTATATAGGACTATTATATTCTTTGTAGGTGAAATTCTGCGTTATTCGTTTTCTTGATTGATTGATTAATTAATTATTGATTGTGGGTAATAATTTATGAACAGTACATTTACCCATCTGTTGAAAATCTGTTTGTTCAACAAAATTTTCAAAGCCCCACATTTCGAATGATTTTTTTTTTATGATGATCTTCTTGAGTTTGATTTTTCAAGTGACGTGAATTTTAAATTGAATCGGAAGAATTTTGATGAAGAAAATTTGAAAATTTTGCATCAACTGTGTACATATTTTGTACCTATAGATATCTGCGCTGGTGTAGCAGGCAGGGCGTACTCCCCAGGTACAGCGTACTCCCCCTGCAGGAGGATTAGTCCACATCTGCGGAGTGCAATTCAGCAGAGGCTCTTCTGCAGTGATCACTTATGCAGTGGTATCTTCCACAGAATTCAGAGGAAAGTTGATTCCACAGTGATTCTTGAAGGCAAGAACCTACACCACCAGAAACGAGCGTTTTAANTGTTCTCTCAAGTGAGTTTCGGGGATTGTGAGGGAGTGACATGAAGTTGTTCGCGAAGGATTATTTAATCCTGATTTTTTTTCTGTGCAAAATTTTAGTATCGGTTGGATCTCTCGAACCCTGTCAAGTCGAATTTGAAGGGACCAACAACAGGAATTTGACGTGTGGAGTTTTCGAGTTCGGGAGAGTAGGAATACTAGGTCTGAAAATGCTTGCTGTAAATTTTAAAAGAAGTAATTGGAGCTGAAATGTTTGCTGCAAATTTTTTTGTGGTGCGGATCTAGGACAATTTGAGACAGGGACTGTTGAGACAAAAACAATTCAAGGCAAGGATTTTTTGAGACAGTCATGTTAGCTACATCACTTCTGTATCATTTTTCACGCTTGTTTAAATTTATTATTGTATTTAATGTGAGAACAGTGGGATAATGATGCAATATCCCATGAGCATAGCAAGGGTTTTTTAATTGTCACAATTTTGAAGAAACCAACTTTTCCTAGCTTTCATTCCTCTCTTGGTAAATTTTGAAGAAAATGATATGCGATTGAGAATCTGTGGTTAATATCAAGTTGTGCAGGTTTTAAACGAAAGTATGAGAGTGGAATGAAGGTGAAGCTGTGTTTTAGGCCTCATTTTTGTCGTCTCTATTTGACCCTGTCTCGACTTCGTCTGTCTTAAAATTGTCCGCATCTCGTGTGGTTTTTCCAAAATCGTTTCTTTAATTATCCCCAGTACGTAAAAACGACTAACCACGGGAAACTGTTGTGTGTATGAGTCCACAGGACGAGGAACCTCAAGCATGGATTTTATGGATCTGTTGAAGTTGCTCATTTTGCTTCCCTAGTCCCTACAGCATTATCATTGGAAATTCCTGTTATCTTGGGAAGGTTCAAAGATGACACATTTTGAGTGAAGGAGGGTGAGGTTACATTGTTTTAAACAGACTTTGGGGCAGAGACTAGCAAAAACTAGGAGGTTTGAATGAAAAGAGGTCCGACTTTACGCTGCTTTCCAAGTGGATGTTCATGTGTGTCGCTCTCGTTTAAAAAAAAAAAAAGAGACAAGTTTGGGTGTGCTAACTGTGAGTTTCTTTTCCATAGTTCACCATGGCATTACCGAAACGCGGAGAAGTGATTGTGCAGCTGATGCAACGTGGCCACACTCACAGTGATGCCATGGGACGTGAGCTTTTGCACGTCGTGGGCTTCGCCGTCACTAAGGTATGGGCTTGCGATGAAATCACGGAAGAAATCCAGTCATTTGGGGGGTTTTATAGACTACTCACTACGGGGGCTCTATGCCTGTTAAACCGAACCTCTGTAAAATTTGCGCTTTTTATAAGGAGCTCCAAACCTTTTACAGAGTTCTATACCTGTGAACGGTTGTAAAGATCTTTTTACCTTTTTTAATTTTATATCTTGGACAAGTTGAGAAATTTGTATTCAACACGTTGAAAATAATTTTTTAGTGAAGTTACTTTGATTCATAATCCAAAACGAAGTAATTTGTGATTTTTTACGGTTTGTGCTCAGTATAGCAAGACTTGCGCTTTTATTTCGAAAAAACACGAAGAAACGTACGCTTTTCTAATCTAACACTCACCAAATGAAAGACATGTCAACAAAAGACATAAGACTAATTTTAGTTAATCTACCTCTTTTTCTATTTAAAAGCACCTAGCTAAAGCAGATGACGAGTAAACTGCTGATGACATTTTCGCAGTTTTTCAAGAATTGACGCATTTATGCATGATTTTCCAATCATATGCATTTAGTCGTGATTTCAGACCATCAAAATTATTTATTTCACTTTTTCCGCCTTTGAAGTTTTTATTTTTTTGCAAACAATTTCCCAGGTGGAGATGAATCGTCAATTCCGGTTGCACAAAGTCTTCAACGCCGTGGTGTCTTCTCCATTTGCCGAAGTTTATCACGTGTCGCAGAAGTTTTTGTTGCTGCCGGGTCGGTACTTGATTGTGCCAGGAACGTGCAACCCTGGGTTAGAAGCAGATTTCATGCTCAGAGTCTTCAGCAAAGACGGCGTGAAACTAAGGTGTGAAGAATGTTCTATTTTGCTCATGTACGACGTGGAAAATTTCCAGAATTGGGAGAGAAAGAGAGAGAGAAAAAAATTGGAGGGCGAACGAATTATTTTCCTCATTTAGAATTGCATCATGATTTTATCTCAGTTTAGGTCATGACAATTTTTATGATTCCTGAATTTGTATTTATTTTTTTGCAGCATGTTGACATTGGACCACCCACAACGTGCTGGAATCATGCGGATTTTTGGCACCCAATCGTCGCGTTTTTTGACGCGGGTTCAAGTGAAGCGAGTAATTTGTAGCGACGAGTCGGAAATTGGCTTTTGGACCGGTGAGGAATTGCTTTTGCTTTCATTTCAAACAATCGAATTTTGTTTAAAGTCCCTGTCAAGAATTCCTTTGAAAACAATGCATTAAAATCCTTGCGAACTCTGAGGCTCCATAATTCAAATTTCCGCTACGCCTTTTTGCTATTTCATTTATTTATTTTTGGACAAAGGACAGAGAAGAGCAATGCAAATTTTGGATGTGTTTTAGGAAGTGAAAGACTACCGTAAATGTGCAAATGAACCCTTGCCTTCAACTTCAGCATCCTGTCTGCTCATTTAAGGCCTAGACTCCTTAAAGGATCACCAATTGCAATTTTTTATAATCCTTATTTTTTCCTTTTAAATGTAATTGCTTTCTTCATCAACTCGAATTTTTTCTGGTCTCTTGACTTGAAGAAGTTTGACGGTTGCTTTTGACTGCTTGATAAAAGTCTGGTCAAGTTGAATAAATTTAATAAATGTCCAAATTTTTGAACAGGAGAAGTCCTTGAGTATTTCTTCAATGAATGAATGAACAGAACACTTTATTTGCCACTTTTCAGCATTCACAAGGTTCAATCAAAATTTCCACAACCAAACCCCCTTCCCACGCAACACAAATCCTCTCAATAACATTTAATTACTCCAGAGCAGGAAACAGAGCACAAATTGATAACAAAAATAAAAGTAAATACAATACAACATGAAATACAACTGGACATCTGACATGTATGCATACACCCATTCATTCCCTGACATTGGTAACAAAATATATGTAAAAATTAATTTAAAGCACAAGGTCTTCAGCTTGTTTCTGTATGAGGTTTAGTTGAATGAACAAATTACAGAGATTCTTTGATGAGAAATCATACAAAGCCAACAGTTTATCTTGATCCTTTAAGATTTCAGAAAGGGTCTCTTCATTGAATTCCAGTACTGTACTTGTAAATCTATCTTGAGCTTGTTTCTATCAGTATGAAATGCTGGACATAAGAAGAGAAGGTGCTCTGGTGATGTACAAACTAATGTATTTATGCTGCAGGTGTTACACCACTTGGACACTTTTGAAAATTGGATGATTTTTTTACTAAAGTGCCATGAATTTGTCAAAATAGCTACAGTATCATGTATTACGGGGATTCATTTCTTCAATCACAAAAATGCCTCAAAGCCAAGAAATTGTGCAAAAAACGCGTAAAATCTGAAAATGAGAAGGCGTTGTTCTGGACCAAATTATGTGATAGCAAATGCAGCAGTAAAATATAATTACAGAAATTCAGTTGTGCTGGTGGACTTTGACAAAATTCAAGGGACCAGAAAAGTATTCTTTGTGGAGAAAATTCTGTTGCAGAGAACTCCTACGCCTTACTGTATTGAGAGAAACCTGTGGGATTATAAAAGAATTTGTTATACAGAGAGTCTACATTTAATAATTTGTTTTTATTATCTTCCTTGCGATGACCTTTTTTTGTGCACAACGGACGAAAAAAGATGAGCCTGAATCTTCTTTTTTTTTTTTTCCTCCAGAACCTTGATGAAATAATGTGCCATTAGTAATTGCACGTTGAATGGTCGACATCCTTTCTACGGAATTGTATTGTTTCACTGTATGAACTCTTGCCGCGTGTTTCAATTGTGTCATTTTGGCAGGTCGCATTACGGTTGGTGTCATGTGCGAAGGCAAGTCGTGCAGAAGCTGGGCCGCAAAAATGCCTCAGGATGCCGCCAACAACCCGCAGCTGTTTTGGAACCTTGTCGGGTTCGACTCTGTGTTTTACCGGAAAAGCCTGACCTCCAAAATTNGCTTTTTTGTGCTTCTTTGCATGCGAAAAGATTAGATTGTGAGTGGTTTACTTTCTGTACAGTTGTTTTCTGTATTCTGATTAAAATCAATTAGATGGAGAAAAAGATAAATTTTCGTGGATCGATTCGCAGATGACGAGTAAACTGCTGATGACATTTTCGCAGTTTTTCAAGAATTGACGCATTTATGCATGATTGTCCAATCAAATGCATTTAGTCGTGATTTCAGGCGATCAAAATTATTTTTTTTTCAGCCTTTGAAGTTTTGATTTTTTTTTTCAAACAATTCCCAGGTGGAGATGAATCGTCAATTCCGGTTGCACAAAGTCTTCAACGCCGTGGTGTCTTCTCCATTTGCCGAAGTTTATCACGTGTCGCAGAAGTTTGTGTTGCTGCCGGGTCGGTACTTGATTGTGCCAGGAACATGCAACCCTGGGTTAGAAGCAGATTTCATGCTCAGAGTCTTCAGCAAAGACGGCGTGAAACTAAGGTGTGAAGAATGTTCTATTGTGCTCATGAACGACGTGGAAAATTTCCAGAGTTCGGAGAGAAAGAGAGAGAGAAAAAAATTGGGGGGCGAACGAATTATTTTCCTCATTTAGAATAGCATCATGATTTTATCTCAGTTTAGGTCATGACAATTTTTATGATTCCTGAATTTGTATTTATTTTTTTGCAGCATGTTGACATTGGACCACCCACAACGTGCTGGAATCATGCGGATTTTTGGCACAGCATCATGATTTTATCTCAGTTTAGGTCATGACAATTTTTATGATTCCTGAATTTGTATTTATTTTTTTGCAGCATGTTGACATTGGACCACCCACAACGTGCTGGAATCATGCGGATTTTTGGCAGGGTTAGCAGCGCAAAAAACTGCGCCCAAGTTCACTTCGCTCATTAAACATCGCTGCTCAGCCTTTAACCGAAAACCTGGCCACTCCTTAACGAAAACGAAAGTAAAGTTTGTTAGCTTAAAACAAAAAAGTCCCTGTCAAGAATTCCTTTGAAAACAATGCATTAAAATCCTTGCGAACTCTGAGGCTCCATAATTCAAATTTCCGCTACGCCTTTTTGCTATTTCATTTATTTATTTTTGGACAAAGGACAGAGAAGAGCAATGCAAATTTTGGATGTGTTTTAGGAAGTGAAAGACTACCGTAAATGTGCAAATGAACCCTTGCCTTCAACTTCAGCATCCTGTCTGCTCATTTAAGGCCTAGACTCCTTAAAGGATCACCAATTGCAATTTTTTATAATCCTTATTTTTTCCTTTTAAATGTAATTGCTTTCTTCATCAACTCGAATTTTTTCTGGTCTCTTGACTTGAAGAAGTTTGACGGTTGCTTTTGACTGCTTGATAAAAGTCTGGTCAAGTTGAATAAATTTAATAAATGTCCAAATTTTTGAACAGGAGAAGTCCTTGAGTATTTCTTCAATGAATGAATGAACAGAACACTTTATTTGCCACTTTTCAGCATTCACAAGGTTCAATCAAAATTTCCACAACCAAACCCCCTTCCCACGCAACACAAATCCTCTCAATAACATTTAATTACTCCAGAGCAGGAAACAGAGCACAAATTGATAACAAAAATAAAAGTAAATACAATACAACATGAAATACAACTGGACAACCTTTAAGATTTCAGAAAGGGTCTCTTCATTGAATTCCAGTACTGTACTTGTAAATCTATCTTGAGCTTGTTTCTATCAGTATGAAATGCTGGACATAAGAAGAGAAGGTGCTCTGGTGATGTACAAACTAATGTATTTATGCTGCAGGTGTTACACCACTTGGACACTTTTGAAAATTGGATGATTTTTTTACTAAAGTGCCATGAATTTGTCAAAATAGCTACAGTATCATGTATTACGGGGATTCATTTCTTCAATCACAAAAATGCCTCAAAGCCAAGAAATTGTGCAAAAAACGCGTAAAATCTGAAAATGAGAAGGCGTTGTTCTGGACCAAATTATGTGATAGCAAATGCAGCAGTAAAATATAATTACAGAAATTCAGTTGTGCTGGTGGACTTTGACAAAATTCAAGGGACCAGAAAAGTATTCTTTGTGGAGAAAATTCTGTTGCAGAGAACTCCTACGCCTTACTGTATTGAGAGAAACCTGTGGGATTATAAAAGAATTTGTTATACAGAGAGTCTACATTTAATAATTTGTTTTTATTATCTTCCTTGCGATGACCTTTTTTTGTGCACAACGGACGAAAAAAGATGAGCCTGAATCTTCTTTTTTTTTTTTTCCTCCAGAACCTTGATGAAATAATGTGCCATTAGTAATTGCACGTTGAATGGTCGACATCCTTTCTACGGAATTGTATTGTTTCACTGTATGAACTCTTGCCGCGTGTTTCAATTGTGTCATTTTGGCAGGTCGCATTACGGTTGGTGTCATGTGCGAAGGCAAGTCGTGCAGAAGCTGGGCCGCAAAAATGCCTCAGGATGCCGCCAACAACCCGCAGCTGTTTTGGAACCTTGTCGGGTTCGACTCTGTGTTTTACCGGAAAAGCCTGACCTCCAAAATTCTTTTGGAGGTAATGATGATGATTTTTTTTTCTAGCTTTGGTTAGGCTACGAAGTTCGAGGAATTCGTTGCGCGAATCATTAGTGAAACTGATGATCCACCGACAATCGGTGAATTTTAATATCGTAGTCTTTGTTTGGACATTTGAGAAAATTTTTTTATGGAGTTGAGCGAAGTCCGGAAGAAGTAGAAATAAATTGGAAATTATTAGTGAGACCCCGAGATGCGGACGTAATTGGTGCATCAAGAGTGTCCCTAAGTTGAGTCTCATTTTCCCTTAGACTTAGATTATATAATTTGATTGGTGTTTTATGGACAAAATACTCACCATAATTCCATGAAAATAAAAATTTTCTCCAAATTTAAACTGATTCAATCAATATATTTCAACACAATTTGGACATTTGGGGAATTGAATACTGATACCTCTGTAAAGTACATAGAAAAGTTGGCATTCTCTGTAAAAATAACATTCAAGTGAAAAAGAGAAAAGAAAGTCCCTCTATGTTGGAGGTAAATTTTTTTTAATTAGTTGAATGGATGGTGAATTGGTGAGAGAAATGCCCAAAAACTTTTCTTACATCAATTTTATGGTTGGAAATACCTATTTCTTGTAATTTGGCCTGAAATGTATTTGCAATTTCATCACAAAATGTCCCCATGTTGAGTCAGTGTCCTCATCTTTGGCCTTTTTTATTTTATTTTTATGGGAAAATAAGTTTGCGTATGTCGAATTGTCCACATGTCAAGGTGTCCGCATGTAGGGGTCTCACTTTAAAATAAATGTTTTTCAATTATTGATGCCAATTGCTCGATATTTTTATTCAACTTTTCTTCTTCTTCTTTGTGAATCAGGTGCACAAGAAGGGGTTGTTGGTTCCAGTGCTTTTGGGCAGGTGTGAAATCACAGCCAGTGACGTGACACAGACGCACGAAGCCGGCGAAGAGCGGATATTCAATTTGACAAACACTCGTCGTTTCCGCGACATCCGGGACGAAGACTTCCACTTCCTCCCGGACACCTTGGAGGTGGAGAGACGACTCTCTGTGTACAGTATTTGCGTCTCGCTGAAAACAGTGGCCAATTTCAAGGACCTTTGAGACTTACGAATCGTTGTGTCCTCCCCATTTTTTCTGCGTTGGCTGTCTTTTCAAGGGCATTTTTTCAGAGATATCCTCTCTTGATGACGGGACTTTCGTATTGCGTGTCTTTCTTTGGGATAGAGAGAGAGAGAAAAGCGTGGGGTTTTTTCCACACTCTCACCAATGTTTTTTTGGTTGTTTGTGTCTTGCCAGTATTTGTGTAATATCTTGGAAGTATTTTTTGGTGTTCAATTTTATCGAGTCTCAGGGCTTCTGCGAGAGCAGCTGGAATATGGAGAGACCTTTTTTTCCTAGGGAAGAGACTTATTGGTGTTTTAGAGATCACGACCCAGGTTTTTTTGATGTGCTTGTAGTGAGTAAGGTATGTAATTCTTTGGTGTTGAGACGGAGAAGAAAAGGTTGGTGATGCGGAGAATTTTGAGGAAAAAGTATTTCGAAGTGGGATTATTATGAGACTGAGTCTCTCTTTCTTACTATTCGAGGCAGTAGGATATTCCCTGTATTTTACTGTTTAACCCAGCAAAACGAGGGATTTATTTTCAAAGGGACGAATATCTCGCACTTTTTGAACCTCTCAGAAGTGGAAGAAGTTCGCTTTCGAGACCTGAATAATTTCTTTTTTCTTCAGCTTCTGTTGATCTTAATGCTTGAAGCTGCTTTAAAAATACAAATAAAAAACACCTTATTCTGTGGTCTGTTCAGCAATTTCATAGGAGTGATCCGCAATTTTTTTTGTTGCAAAAAGTATCTGTTGTTTCGGATGAAAATTTCAGGACGTATCAAAATTCCCATCGATTTAAAATTTTTACAAATATTAATTCCTTGAATTTAGAAGGTAATATTTAATTTTATATGCAAGTCATATTTTAAAGTTTTGTAAATTTGATTTTGTTTCCTGGTCTGTTCAACAATTGAATGAGAAAGGCCCGCACATCTTTTGTTGTTGCAAAAATATCATTTTTTTGTGTGGAAAATATCGTGTCATGTGGAATCCCCATCGATAAATATTTGTAAAAAAATATTAACTCCCCCATTTCTATTCAAATTTAATGTATAAAAGTCATCTTTCAAAGTTTTCTGAATTTAATTTCGTTTAAAGCTAATTCTTAAGCTTCACTACGGATAGAAAAATAATTTAAATACTTTCATGAAATTACTTTCAATGATGGAAAAAATTACGAAAGGCGGAGGATTTTTTGCGCGTCGAAATTGGTTTTCTTTCCTACTTTTGACAAATAAATCCTGGATGAAAACTAATGCCTTCTTTTGCGAGCGGTTGAAGTTCGACTCGTTTTTCAACTTATAATTATTGCATTCATTTTTGAGAGGTTGAAAAAGGTTCGAGGTCTTGTCAATTTAAAGCGGCAGATTTTTGGGTAATGTGATATTTCAGAAACCAGCCTTCCCGCTGTCATTCCCAGGTTGTGTACCATAGGAAGAATTTTTTTTTTACTGTGACAGAATCAGATTTTGGGCCAAAAATGGTGACAAAATTGCATCAGAAAAATGCTAATTTAAAAGCAGGGATTTTTGATCACTGCTTTAATTATTGAACAGGATCTTAATCTCCTCTAGTGTTGGGGAAGTGACCTTTTTCAATTAAACTTTCTTGGAAGGTTGCTTGAATTTTTAACCCAGTCTTCAATTGATCATTAAAATAATTTTACATTATTTTTGGGTGAATTGTTGCCAAATAATGCCACATTGACTTGGGAATGACTGGATAAAAAGTAGAACTCAAGCATTGCTAAGGTTGTACAAATTTCTCTATGTTGAAGGAAGAACAGCAGGGAATTTGATTTTTTCCATTCATTTGCAATAATTATCTCCACAAGGAAAATTGGTTGTTCAAGAAACAAAGATGTGCTAGGAATTTTTGCAAGAACAATCTGGATTGTAGAAAGGGATCTGAAGACCATTTTTTTTTTTTTCCTGGTGAAAACGATTCCAAGTGTTCCAAAGTCAGTGTGTTCATTCAGCTTCACATGATTGTTGTGCTGTAAAAAAAAAAGATTTTTGTTAATGAATGTGAAACCAGCACATATCCTGTGAGAAGGCACTTGAACTTTCAGTGACAAATTCATGTGTGTTTTGACAGGTGCAGCTTTTTTTGTTGGAGACAATAACTGTCTTAATGGGCTTTTTTTTCTTGGACAAATCTGTGTTTAAGAATCAATCACAAGGTTGGTGTGTGTTTTTTGTTGCTGGGATTCTTGAATTTTTGTGACACGAATGTCCCATGCAGAAATTTGCTGTGAAGAAACCAGAGCCACCGTGGAACAAAAATATATCAAGCTGTTGGCTGTTATCAGTGTTGCATTTTTCAACCTGAGGTCTTTCTGGAAATTCAGCTTAGAACTGTAGAATCTTTTACAGTAAATTTTCTTACAGAGATGGACTCCACAAAAAACTCAAGGGACCAGGAAAAACGTGTTCTAGATTTTGTAGTTGTATTTTAGAGAACTTCCATAACATATGGAAAGAATCTGATGCACTTACGATGGAATCATAAAAAATGTGTTATACAGATGAGAATATTGTTGTAGACAAGATTGTTGATGTAGAGACCACCTGTAACATTAACTTACATGCAATGAATTCTTTCTGGAGGTTTCTGTTTAATAGCTGCAATGTGTTTTGAATCACCATTGCAAAAATTCTTCATATACTGAAGCAAAACTTATTTTGTCCCAATTGCTGTATGTGACAAGGTATTCTTGCAAGAAATCCTGATCACTCAATACATTTCTTCAACATGCTAAATGAGCATCTGATTTCCCTGAACATTTTGAAATTAAGCTGTATCAGTGTAAAATTGACAAAGTTTACTCAAATTTCACCCTGTTTCAAAATTTAATTCATGCACACCAGTGCATATGTAGAGTAGAAGAGTGTTACAACAAATTATTTTTTACAACAAAGTCAGGTTCCTGTCAAATTGCCACAATGCTAAATGATGTATACAGTACATTCTAACACATTTTCAGTTTTAACCAAGTTATGGCTTCATTGTAACAAGATTTTACTATGCTGTATTTCCACTCAATTAGTAAAGTGAAATTCTCAAGTGTGTTGGAAGTTGGAACTGAGTTGGAAACTTTTCCTAAAACCAGCGCAAGAAACTCTATCAAGAAGAAGCAAGGCTACACATTCATGGCAAATTATTGTGCATTTCCCAACTCAAATTTCAAATCATACAGGTTATAAAAAGAATTTTCAATAACAGAAATTGGAACAACTTCATCAACTACATATCAAAATTGACTAGACCATTCATTCATTCATCAAAAAGTTGTACTGACCCCGCTTGTGGCTGCTTATAGAATTAAATACAAAAAGCTCAGCAATCATAAATGAGGCATTGCATAAGTTCAACAAAATCATGCATGCATAGGGTTAGACAAAATGTTAGCAGAAAACTCCACAAAGTAAATTGTTCAATGCTGATGAGTACATTCCTAATTTTCAAACTTGAATCAACTCCATCTATTCAATGACATATATTTTTTTAATGTTGCAGTTTTAAGCTTTTATACAACATTGCCCTACATCACTGAAAAAAAGTGTCACTCATGCCATCATCAGCATAACCATGATGTCAGAAAAAAATACTGTACAACCACTAACATTCACTTCAAGTATTCCAGAAAATATGGCAAATGGGGGATGATTACACACCAATGCAAATTACCCTTGGCATAGCTTGAATCAACTGTGCAACATCTGACTAGGGAAATTCCTTTAAGCTACATTTATTTTTAGCTTTAGCAATACTCTGCAAAATCTTCCCATAACTAAAAAAGGCAGGAATAATCCATCTTTCAAGAATTACAACTTCTTGAATACCAAGTAGGTGTTGACTCCAACCAAAGCCAACCCAAGCAGAATCTTCAAATTCATCTGAAGAAATGCAAACATTCTTGAAAAAAAAAACAAAGATTGACTCAAAAACTGGGATTCAGCCTATATTTGAACTACAGTCAAACATACAAGCATCTATACATGCTTATCCACTAGAAAATTTAGACTGGAACAGGATGAGACCTTTCATGCTGACACAGCCTCTATATTTGTGTAAATACTGTAAATCTCAGGAAAAAGCAAAAAAATAACATAAGTGTGCCACACCCACGCAGGCAAAATAAAAATCAGTCTTACAACACTTTGAGGTACAACAGAAAAAAAACCTTCCTTTCTCTCTTTTTCTGAAAACCAGTTTGAATCGCGACAGTATTTTCTGCTGAATCTGACACAATTCAGCAGATTTAGTCCTGCATAAAAAAGAACTGACATTGTCTCTTGTTCCTGAAATGCTGCTTCTGTCAATTCCACGAAGCTGAAAAAAAAAAAAAAACAGACTTGTCCAATAATTCTCCTAGTCAACAAAAAGGTATCAAACAAACACAGCTGAAATACCAGCGCTACGCTAGCAGTCACAACACAAAACGAAATTGAAAATGCTCTTGTTCAAGCTCTTCGAAAGCAGTTCCCGATTCTCCTCGTCACACCAACAACAACAAAAAAAATGCCTCCTTTTTCGTCAGCAAAGACTAGAATACGTCGCCTTGTTCTGCACAGGGTACTTGGCGTACAAGTACGAAGAAAGAGAAATCAACGCAATGGCCAACACGGTGTAGGCGTCGATCGGGATCCCAAACAAGAAATACGAAAACAGGGCCAGGAGGGACAGCTCGACGCCACTGGCGTGCACTTTGAGGATAGAGTTGAGGTTCTTGAGGAAGAAACTGGTGACGAGTCCCATGGCGGCACCGTTGACCACAATGCACGTCACGACGGGCTCGTCAATCACTGCTGTCCACCTAGATGTCGCTAGAATGCTGTCCAGGCCGCCGTTGAAGCCCAGCAGGAGAAGGTTACAGAGGATGGAGTTGAAGTACATGAAGATGTTTTGGATCATCAGGGACGCCTCGGAAGAGGCGTCCTTCAAGAGGAATTCGTTGTACACACCGGCTATGCTTGAACACAGGACCTTGAACACAGAACGCGTGGAAATACAGTGAGACCCCCACATGCAGATGCCTTGACTTGGGGACATTTATTTTTCAACAAAAAAATCATAAAAAAGACTCAACATGAGGACACTGACTCAACCTGGGGACATTGCAGGATGAAATTCCAAAATAAATTTTAGGAAAATTGATTTCATAAGGCTTAATTGCAAGAAAAAGATGTTTCCAACCTAAGATCTATGCAAGAAAAATTTGTTGCTACTTTCCCCATCCATTCAGCTGATTTAAAAAATGCCCTATAGCACAGAAGGACTGCCTTCTAGCTCTCTTGGTGACATGGATGTTATTTTTTCCAGATGATTCAGTTTACTGTACAGAGGTACACTATTCAATGTTCCAAATGTTCTTAATGGTTTGAAAAGATATTCATTGAATCAAATTCAAGTGGCAAATTTTTTAAAATGAAATTCTGAAGAATATTTCCTCCATAAAAGACCAATTAAAAATTATACAATGTAAGTCTATGGGAAAACAAGATTTGACTTGGGGACAATCCAACATAGGGACACTCTTGATGCACCAATTATGTCCGCATCTGGGGGTCTCACTGTATATCATCTGCTTTCTCAGCAATCTAAAAACAAACTACACTGAATTTCATTTGTTTTTTAAATCCATCAGGGCAGTAAATCAAATAACTACACATATTACAGTCAAACCTTGTTAACTCAAACCTCCCCAAGTCAAATATTTTCCAAGTCCCCATTCCATTTCTCTAGGAAAATTGTATTCAAAACCTCCCAAACTCAAAACATTTTCCTCTCAAACCTCCCCAACTCACATTTTTTGGAGGCCTGTTGGCTATTTTTTCTTGACAACAGAAAGAAAGAAGCAATAAAAAACATAATTTCATGTGTTTTGAAAGGGAAGGAAAGACCAAATTGGACAAATTTAGTCACTACCTCCAAGTTCAGCAGCCTGTCAACTCATTTCAGATGCTTCTAATGTCCAGAATATCATCATTCACAATTTTGTGCAATTCTTCCATGTTTGCTATGATAAAAATGCTTGGTTCTGTTACTCAAAGCTCAATTATTCAAAACCTCCCTAGGTTAAATTTTGTGAGGTCCCTTGACATTTGACTTAGAGAGGTTCAACTATACTGGCCCACACTTAATGATAGTTCAGACATGAGATACAAAATCTCTAGTTTTTTTTCAGAGAATTCTTGCACATATTTAAAACTGACTAAAAATCACCCTGGGCTATCATTCACACTTCAATCACACGTTTGTTGAGTGACAAATCTCCAGACTTTCCAGAAATTGAAGAAAAAAATTTTTGTGATGTTGTTGATTCAAGCAAATTACTAGCTGATCTTCCTTGTTGCAAAACTAAACCATTACTATTTGTATCATCTAACAGCCCCTTGGTACATGACACCATAGCTCTTTTGACAAACTTGTGGCATTTTAATAAAAATTCTTCAAATTTTCAAAGGTGTCCAAGTGGTACAATTTCTGCAATATAAATACATTGGTAAATGCATCACCAGAGCACATTCTTTTCTTATGTCCAGCATTCCACAGCCACAGAAATGAGCTTCAAAAAGATATGGAACTCCTAAAATTCCATGGAAAGACTCTTTCCAAAATCTTAGAGGATCAGCATAATCTGCTAACCTTATGATTTCTCATCAAAGATTATCTCCAAGTTGTTTAATCAACTAAACCTTATCAAGTTGAACACCTGGTGCTTTAATTTGGGTTTAGTAATTGCTTTATCCTGCAATTCTCATTATTGATATTTTATTTTTGTGATCAGGGAAGGGAAGAAAGTGTATGTATTTACATCAGTTGCAAGGTTGCATTTTTTGGGATGGATTTTCTTTTCTTCCAATATCCATGTAGAGCTTGTTTCTCTGTTTTTGTAAGACTACTCTTCTTACATAAACCTACCTACACCCACCCCTCCCCTTCCCCAAACCTACACCCTTGTAACGAACTTGGAACACTTACGACTCTTCGTCTTTTATTTCGAACGACAAGTTAAGTTTCCAACTCACTTGGATAATGATAAAAACAATGTCCCAGCTGAATATTTCCGATGAATGAGAAAGTTGGATAGTTTTTGCATCACCGGGATTCGAACACTGCTTAATCACGCATCCTAACGTCAAAATGCCAAGTGATGTCCACTGAATCTTACTCAGCTTCCGGTTGAAATACTAGACTTTCTGTTTAGGTAGCTATTGCTCTTTATTGATGTCCCGATTATCTTACTTTAAGTGCACTTCAAGTCTTGTAATAAGTTGGTTTATGACTTTAATAAGTTGGTTTATGACTTTATTAGAAACAAAATACCAGTTCTGAAATAATTGAAAAAATACTTGTACAGTATTGAAATAATTGAAAAAATACAGTATTGTATGTACAGTAAAAAAATACAGTATGTACAGTATTGTACAGTATTGAAATAATTAAACCATATACCTGTACTGAAATCATTAAACCAAATACTGTACTGAAATAATCATTAAACCAAATACTGTACTGAAATAATCATTCAACCAAATACTCTACTGAATTAATTCAATCAAATATTGGAATCATTCAACCAAATACTGAAATCATTCAAGCAAATACTGAAGTCATACAACCAAATACTGAAATCATACAACCAAATACTGACATCATTCAAGCATATATCGAAAACCCTCATCATGCAGCAGCTCTGATCAGCAACTTTACATTAGAAAAAACCATTTACAAAATACACACCTGGAATGTCACACCAATGACCACGATCCGAAATTGCAAAAGCAGCAGGTAAGTCGTGGGGTCAAAGTTCGCCAAATTCACGAAGGACAGGTTGTTGTAGAGACAGTACAAAGCAGCAGGAATCACGTAATGAAAGTACACTAAAAACAACAAAAAAAACAAATAAATACATTTGTCAGAAATTATCTCAAATTTCGGCACGAAAACAAAAAACTTACCCCGACGAGCCTTCCAGAGCTCGGAGCAGATATTATTCACAGAAGATGTCCTTCCGAGAAGAAAAGAAACACCAACACAAAACCAAATTCAATCTCACAAAAGCTAAGTAATCCAAAAAAAAAAAGATTTCAATTTATCTTTCCCTTCCGGAAATGAATTTCAAAAATAATAATTATACAGTACTTTAAATTTTGCCTTTGAGGGGGTCAACCCGTAGTAAATGACCATCTGGCATAAACATAAAAATTTCGCAGTGGATGACACACAAATATTTGTTGTAGAGAACCATTTGGGCCCAAAATATAAATTAATTAAACAGAGAAAATTGTGGTACATTATATGAATAAAACATTATTGCGATTATTATTAAAATTATTATTGAAAATCACAAATTTGGTCTTTGTACATTATTTTTGGCACAAAAAAATCGAAGTACAGTATACTCACTCCGCAGCAAATAATACGAAAGAAGACAAGAGTTTCAAAGACTCCGTGAGAAGAACTACAATGGTAGGATCATATTGATAGTTTGTTCCACCCTTCCGTGATGCTGTCACCAAGAGACCTGCAAACACAAAAATCCCACTTCAACACTGTATTGTGAAAAAATAAATAAATAAATTTCGACAAAGCTGGGTCCTTGTAAAACAAAACTCAATGCATTCCTACTTAGGAAGCTAATTGCGAAAAGCATAATTACTGTGCCGTAAATAATGCACCATAAAATGCTCTATAGAATGAATCTCAATACAGGTGGACTTTGTAAAATTCAGTGGACAACAAAATATTTGTTGTAGAGAGAATTTCATTGTAAAGAACCATTTTGGCCCAAAATATAAATTAATTACACAGAGAAAATTGTGGTATATGAATAAAACATTATTGTGATTATTATTAAAATCATTATTGCAAATGACAAACTTGGTCTTTGATCCCTCCCCACTAGCCACATTTTTACTATACAGTATGTGAATTTCTTGATGATAACAAAGCTTTAGTCCTGATCCCACAAGCTTGGTGGTGATGAGATTCTACCAAAATCTGTTCCATACAGACAAGAATGATCCCCATTTTCTTTGAACCAGTTTTGAAAAAGCAGCAAATGCTCAGTTTATCTGCCAATGTTTTTAAATCTCCATCAGCTTTTACTAATCAAATACAGATGCAATGATGCTTTGAGAAAAGAAAGCAAAAAGCAAACACAAATAAAACTGAGTCAGGCCACTTTAACTGAAATTACTAAATACACATGGACTCTCTCGAAAAATATTCAAGAAACCAGAAACAAATCTTTCAAAGAGAACCCCTATATCCTATAACATGAGAGCAAACCCTAAGATACCAGAAAAAATCATTATACACATGAACTCTTTCTACAACAATTTTCTCTGTACAAAGTACTTTAATTGGTCCCCATAGTTATATTAGTTATATATTAGGTTCTCTCCCCATGCTATAGGCCATATAGGGGTTCTCTAAAAATATTTTTCTCTGATCCTTTCAATTTTGTTGTAGAGAGAGTCCACCTGAATACAGAAAGATCACTGTAGACAAGATTGATACATAAAGTCCAAACCGTATTGCAGCTCACTAAATTAAAAAACTCCTTCACTTCACATCATGTAAATATCCTTGAAAAAATATTTGTTACGCAAGGACCCCCAAAAAATAAGACACCAACTCACCATGGAGGACAAAGAAACCGACATAAGCCATAAAACACAGCAACGTTGAAGCGTCCGGGAAGACATTATCTAACAAGGAAGTGGGTCTGAGTGAAGCTACACTGGTCATTATCTCATACACCTTTCTAACATGCCTACGAAAAAGGAGATTGCGAATCTTTGTTCGACTCGCCAGCCTGACGATGTTTTTTCCTATCACATCTGCAACAAGGAAAAAAACATATCAAAGTTCAGAAAATAAATTCATCATAAGCATGTGCTAGTCTAGTGCTTCGTCTACCATTAAAATGCACATAAAAAAACCAAAACGAAGGTAGTAATGCACAATTTAACTTGCCTTCAAAGATAAGAGAGAGAAATTGCGTCTAAGAAGTAAAAAATTGTGGTCATTGCATTTATTCAGAGACGACATGAATTTACACGGAGACGAGCTAGATGCGTTTTATTATGCCGAATTTTTGTAACGCGAAACACGATTCTCCTCAAGGTTACATCACAAACTATTTAATTCGCTCCATATTCTCACAAGAACAACATAATAAACATTGAAAAAATTGCGAATTTAGATCGAGTACTTTATCATCAAACTATCAAAGTTCAAAGATGACGGCAAATTTGCGCACTGGACTTCCTGAAGTTCACAAATGTTATAGACCAGTGGGGGCAGAAAAATTCCCTTCTGACATTGACCTCGATTTAAAAAAAATTCCAAATTTTAGGTAAAAGAACAATTTACATTTGCATCTAGAGGCTCCATTGTAAATTAATTTTTTTGGGAAATGATTCGACATTCTTTCAAGTGGTTTGAAAAACTCTGCGGTAGACGAAAGGCTAGACCAGCACCACAATGCTCTTACATCAGAAAAAAAAGGAGGAAAACCATTTGGGCGACTCATCCTTGTTCAAATATCCCCCTCGTGGCAATGAGTATCACAATACGAGCTCGGGCAAAAAACAAATCTGATGAAGTCAATGCACTACGCCGGGTTCGTTTAGTCAGGTCACACACACACTTCACAATAGTTGCTGGGTACTGTGCGCCGACAAGTCTAAAAGTTTCCACGCAGCTTTCGGGTTCAAGACGGTCTGGTCACGACAAAGCACCCACACATAGTTGACACGAAGCACTTTGTCTAAATCCCCTTCCACAACATTCCCGACAGCGTCTCGGAGACACATGATTTGTTGACTCTGAAAGCTGATCACTAGGACCGGACCTTGTTCCATCAATTTGCCCATCACCAGGTCAACGTGGCTGATGTCCAAAATTTTGGAATGGAACGTGCAGCCGAGCTTTTTAGCTTCTTTCAGGGGTGTGGAAATCACGTTGAACGGGGCTTCGTAGCACCAGTCCCGCAAAATGTCCAACTCCCCTTGGATGATGGCTTCTAGGATGTTCGGGATGATTTCGAACTCGCACTGCTTGAGGAATTCTTCCTTGTCAAACGAAGGGTCCATCTTGCAAATTTCAGTCAAAGTTTGCGACAAATCGGTCTTTTGGAACACGTTTCCCATGATGTCAGTCACTTTGTCCGTTAGCAACCGAGAGGCACGAACCAGGGGATTGTTGCTTTCATCGTAACGAACTTTCCAGTCCAAGACCTTGTTGTACATGGGATTGTTATTCTTCAAGTTCTCCCAGCTTTGGTACCATCGTGAGTCTTTGTGCAATTCCACGCCCATCGCTTCTGTGTTCGGCTCGAAAACCTGGAAAAATTTCGCACAAATGTAGACCAGTTCGAAAAAATTTGAAAAAAAAAAAAAATCTTTCTGAGCGTTTGGCATTTAGTAAGGCTAACCCTGGTGTCGTCACCAGCCTCTTCACGTTTCCGCAACTGCTCAGGTTTCTGATACATTCTAGCGCGAGCAAAAGCACTAGATTCCACTTCATCCTTTACTGCTTTCACTCCTTGGGAGATTGTTCGAAACGTGCTCGACTTCGAAAGTTGTTCTCCGGCACCAGAAACACTGTCGGCGGCCGTCTTAGCAGTTTTTCCAAGCTCTTCAGTGAACTTCTTCCCCAACTCAGACTTCTGAACTCCTTCAAAGGTTTCACCAAGTTTTTCTGTAACTGATGACAGTCCTTTCCTCAGGACCTGAGATCCCTTGTTTGTTTCAGCTTCGATAGTTTGAAACTTTTTCCTGCGGACAAATAAAAAATGACGATGTTAGTTGCACAGGAATCGGGTTACACAATGATTGGATCGGAACAAACCTTGCCTTCTGGAGAGCCTCACTCTGCTCTAATTTGGCGGCATCCTCACGAAATTTCCTCAGGCTTTCTTTCATCTCTCTGCTTTTTGTGTATTCTTGTTTGATGTTGTCGACGAGCTTTCCGATGAAACCCGGAGGTTTAGACGGTGGTTGATGCGCGAACTGCTGCACTTGGTTGAAATGCATTTGAGTTGACTGGAATGAGGAAAATTACGATGAGTCCGAGTTCCTCATGCAGTTGCACAGAAGATAACATTCGAAGGAAGAAGGACGTTACATACCTGCAAGAGTTCACGGAAGCATGAACGCTTCACGGAGAGCGTTCCATAGACCCAAAGCGCGTTCATCGTGCACGCCCCGATAAATTTTGACACGACCCTGCAAAAAAAAGAAATATTTAACCTTCGTCAAAACAGAAATTGGAAAGTGCCTGAACCAGTTCTCTCCGGATGACGTTTGGTCGGTTTCAAGAATTTGGAAAGCACCACTTCCCGGGTTTCAACTTCCTTATACATTTTTCGAACATCACTGAAGTCCATCAATACTGTAGTTCAATACCGATGAGTATCTTGACATCGTCATGGTCAGGCAAGTCAATGTTCCGGCTCACAGAAGTACTCACTGTATTGCGTTTCTCCGCAGAAATACCCCGAAAATTTGCAACAGTACCTCAATTGTGAATGAGTCAAAATGTTTTCGCATAGGTCTTTAAATGACTCCAGCGGATCACCAATGATCACCAACTCGGCTCTCGAATACAGAATATGGTGCATGTATCAGTGACATCTATGAAAGATAAGTATACTACTGTTGAACTACGGGAATGGTCGTTTTTATGATAGGTGTTGCTGGATTCAACGCAATGGCGTTAGAATTTATCACAAGGATTCAGATCAAATATTAGGACTTATTCCGTATTAAATATATGTCATAATGAAATTTATTTGTAAAACTGTAGATTGTCAAATTTTATGTCATGTAAGATACTGGATAATATCAATGAAGCCATGTCATAAGCATAACGAGTTCTTGAGAATCCTGTGATGATATATGGCGGTGGCTAATTTGTACAGTCTGTTTAGTAAGCTAGCCCACTCATGCCATAAGGTGACATCTAGCGGACACTTTCCGGAACTACACCCAAACGTCCAGAGAGCCCAGCACACTGAAGCTTATCTGATGGAAGATCAGCGGAGGCGTGGAGGCGATAGTTTATAATCCTGAATAAGGCATAATTTATATACAGTATTACTTTAAATAAACATTTTGACATCTAACAGTTTAAAATACAGTACATTCTATGACCTATTATAGTTACTTCGGTACAGTATTCGTGAACGAGTTCTTGAGAATCCTGTGATGATATATGGCGGTGGCTAATTTGTACAGTCTGTTTAAATAAGGTGCGTTCTCCTTCCATTCATTCCACGAACGCAACCCAACCGGCGATGTAGGCAAACTCTGGTTCGGGACATGTTCTGGCACAATCTGTGAATCAGTGAGTGAATTAATGAGGCACCGATCAACATTTTCGGATGCAATTTTCCTCATTTCGAGAAGCGTTCGGAAAGAAACGGAATCGTGCGATTGCCCTCCCGCCGTTGCCTCAATGAAAAATAAAAGCTATGATTAAGAGCAGTGCGTTTCAGTTGGATGTTATTCTTTGGCTTCGCCGGAAGCATTTGCCAAGGTTTTTTTTTTTTGCTTTTCATATCCATACCAGCAACAACGCCTCATTTGAATTTCGAATGTGTAAGCGAAATATTTTCTTCAATTAGTTAATGTCGGAACCGGTGCCGTTGAAAAGCATCGGGAACATTTGTGGGCGATGATTTCTTTCCGTCGTTCTTCATTAGAAATGTTCGGAGAAACACTTCTCTAATTTCCTTGATTCGTTGACTCTTTTCAGATAAATTACTTGGTCTGTTGTTTTGGGCATTAGAATGCCTCGTTCGCAGCGTGACTCCCGGCGCCGGAGGCGTTCCACGTCGTCGCAGGGAAGCCGTGATTCTTCTCAAGACGACAACCGCCGTCACTCGACTTCGAAGCGACACAGACGTTCTCTTGAAAAGTCTTCCTCAGTCCTTCATTCTCGGAAGATCGACTCCGGAGAAGATGCATCAAATCCTCGAATAGGGAAGGAAATCGAGGAAGACGTAGACACTCATCGAAGCACCAAGCCCATCATTTGGCGAGAAAATTCGAAGTCTCGCCGTTCTTCCAGCCCGAAAAGCCAGAAAAAGCGTCAGCGGGATCGGTCCAAGTCCGAAGAAAGTGGCAAAGGTAACAGGAAATCCGTTGACAGAAGCAGTCCGAAAGCTCATCAGCGGAAATTAACCACTTACGACGACACGGAATACTCGGACCACGGCTCACCAACACCTCCAAGAATGCTAAGTCACGTTAATATACCCAACAAACCACCTCCAGTGGAGAAAGTACGCAAAGAACGAGACATACTCACCACTAAAACCGGAGGTGCTTACATACCACCTGCGAAACTGCGGTTGATGCAAGAGCAAATAGCAGACAAATCCAGTGCTGCTTATCAACGAATCGCGTGGGAAGCCCTGAAGAAGTCCATCAACGGTCTCGTAAACAAAGTTAACGTCGCTAATCTTGGCATCATCGTGCGAGAGCTTATGAAAGAGAATCTTGTTCGTGGCCGTGGCTTGTTTTGTCGATCTGTGACTCAGGCACAGCTTTCGTCTCCGACTTTCACGCATGTCTACGCTGGTTTGATCGCTGTGGTGAACACCAAATTCCCCAACATCGGTGAGCTGTTGTTGAAGAGGCTCGTTCTTCAGTTCCGTCGTGGATACAAGAGTAATAATAAGCAAGTAAGTTCGCGAATTTGAAATTTCGCAAGTTTTGTGCGATATAAATATTCAGTAGAACCTCTTCAAGTTGGAAATTCCATATAAGGATGTTTTGAGTTAAGAAAAAAAGCAATTTTTTTGTTGGCAAATAAAAAATAATTGTAGAACTTCTAATTGATATTTTGTGCCTTGAAATTGCATTTTAAATGAGTTGACAGGAGGCTGAACTTCGATGCAACGGTACATTTGCCCAATTATTCTCTCACTTCCTGTCGGAAAGCATCGAGTTATATTCTAACTGCTATTATATTCCCTGTGTCAATAAACAGTCAAAATACCTCCAGAAAATTCGAGTTATAGAGGTTTTAGGGGTAACTCTTCTGAGTTATGGAGATTTTTAATGCATTGATTCTCGAAGATTTTTGGGTCTTGAGAAAAATTGACGTAGGGAGGTTCAAGTTAACATGGTTCAACTGTCGTAAATTTAAGCACTCGTTAAGCAGTTTTTGCACTGGAGTCGGACTTGTGTTATTTTGGGAGGTGCAGATCAAGTGAATGATGCAAAATTTTTCCTCTTGATCAGGTTTGCATGAATTCATCTCGCTTCATCGGTCACCTGGTGAACCAACAAGTAGCACACGAAATTTTAGCGTTAGAAATTGTGACGTTGTTGCTGGAGAAGGCAACGGATGACTCAGTTGAAACGGCAATCGGGTTCCTGAAAGAATGCGGCCAGAAATTGGATGAAGTTTCCCCGAAAGGTCTTCGTGCTGTTGCTGACAGAATGCGGCACGTTCTGCACGAAGGTGGCGTCACAGCGAGGACGCAATACTTGATCGAAAGCTGCTTCGCCACAATTAAGGACAAATTTAAGGTGCGTGAACTATCTGATTTCGATGCAGTGTGGTTGTGATTGTTTTCGATATGCTGATGAGAATTGTTCCTTATTCTGTGTTTTATGCCTGTAACGACATCCGATACGATATTCCTTCCACTGGTGTGAAGTGTCCCATTCATTTAAAATCCTGGCGGTTTCTGTTCGACGAGATGATTCTGTGAGAAAATATAAAAGCAAATTATGTTGAAGAAAAGAGGGGGCATGGGCTGCTGTAAGCCGTGCTTGATCCGGGAAGTAATTTTGCATTTTCGTATTGTACGATTAGGATAATCCTGCTGTGATTCAAGAACTTGATCTCGTCGAAGACGAGGATCAGTACACGCACTTCATTTCGCTGGACGACGAAGGGCTGGAAGCCGAGGACATTCTCAACGTGTTCCGCGAAGACCCCGATTTTCTCGAAAATGAAGAAAAATACAAAACTCTGAGGAGCGAAATCCTCGGGGAATCATCGTCGGGGGAATCTGGTTCAGATGCCTCCGGCGAAGGCTCAGACGAGGAAGAGGACGAAGACGAGGATGACGAAGAAAAAACCACTACTATAGTGGACAACACTGAGACGAACCTGGTGGCATTGCGTCGACTCATTTATTTGACGATTCAATCCAGTCTGGACTTTGAAGAATGCGCGCACAAGTTGAGGAAGCTGAATTTGAAGCCCGGACAGGAGGTCGAATTGTGTCACATGATTTTGGATTGCTGTGCGCAACAGAGAACTTACGAAAAGTTCTTCGGGCTTCTGGCTCAACGGTTTTGTCAATTGAACAGGATCTACGTGGAGCCTTTTCAGAATATGTTTGGAGAATGTTATGAAACTTGTCACAGGTGAGTAACGAAACTAAGTGTGGAAATTTCAAGGAGTTGTCGAGATAATCGAGAGTAAGAAGAATTACTGTGCTTACTTGAATATAAGCACCCCCATCGATTTTTTTTTCATGCTCAATTTGAAATTCCCCCAATAGGCAATTATAAGCACCCACGTACTTCCCTGATTTTCAGAATTTCCGGAAACCCACAATTTTTGATTGAAATTTATGCTTTCCCGAGAAAAGGAAAAACGGTGCGTCACAACCCTTGCTTTTTTCCTTCAATCAATGAATCATGCATCTTAAAGTGGTAAAAGCTGACCATTTCTTGATAATTTTTCAACTTCAGTAAAAAAAATCGAAGAAAAGAAGTGCTTGATTGTTCGGTGGGCTGAAAATTTGACGATTTCCCGATGAAGATGCATATTTACTCGAATTGCTAAAATATGCGAATATTAACACCCCCACCTTAGTTTTCAAGATTAAAAAAAAAGGTGTGCTATTATTCGAGTGAATACAGTAATTTGATGAATACCTGATGTCATAAAGAATTACTTATTTGATGAAAATCGATACATTTTCAATGTATGCGTATTGATACAAAGATTTTCGATCACGGATTGTTGAAGGAATTTAAGGTTTGTGTTCTGTTTTAAACTTCAGTAAGTATGCTTGCGTACCTTTTGAAAAGAAATGAATGAAGGTATTCTGTTTCAGGTTTGATACGAATCGTCTGAGACATGTGGCGAAGTTGTTCGCGCACTTGCTTTTTACGGACGCGATTTCCTGGGGTGTCTTGTCGCAAATTCGACTTGACAGCGAGCAAACAACGAGTTCTAAGCGAATCTTCATCAAGATATTGTTCCAAGAATTGGTTGAATACATGGGGCTGCAGAAGTTGCACAACCGTGTTAACGATCCCACGATGCAAGAGGCCTTTAAGGACTTGTTTCCGAGGTTAGTGTTTTTTTTCTTCTTTTTTGGCGCTTAATTAAGTACTGTATAAGGAACGACTTGGTCATTTTTTAAATCGTTCGCTGATTACAGTACAGTAATTGAATGCGTTATTATTTCAACAGGGACGACCCGCAAGCGACGATGTTCGCCATCAATTTTTTCACTTCGATTGGTTTGGGTGGATTGACGGAAGAGCTCCGATCCCATTTCAAGGTTTGTGTTGTGTTGAAATCGGGTTTTCTACATTTTAGCTACGCTTCTGATTTGATATCGACGAGGACTTTCAGCTAGGTGTCGCCCTGATCTCGAACCGGTGTATTTGTGTCAGCAATTGAATTTTGAAATATTTTCCCGCGGTTTTAAATGTTTGGTGATCGGATTTCCGTGGGTTTGAATTGAGGGAAAGATACCGGGGAATCTTTCCGAGGTCTTTATTCCTTTGAGAAGATCACGTGTACAGTTAGTCCCAGCATTACATATGACGAAAATTTCGCATTTCGAATTTTTTTAGGGGTGAAGTGGCACGGACGTAATTATTTTTCAAGATCAGAAAAAGCAATAATTTCATCAAGTTTCGCGAAAATTTCAAGCGAATCGGAAAATAATTGTTTAGTTTGGCTTTGTTCTTGGCTTCAATATTTATGAAATTCTGAAATTTAAGAACTCAAATGTGTCCGACCGGAATTTCATACCAATAATTTTAAAATTAACTATTCGTGCTGAAGAGCACACCGATTGTATGGCTTACGAGGGCTCTAACAAAAGTTCTGGGAATGAAAATGAAAATGGCGTCTAATCCATCTGATGAAAAAAATTATTCTTTAGGCCTAGGGCAAACATATTCTTCGGCGTAAAAAAAATCAGCCCTGTTCGACTATTTTTTTAATGTTTTGAAAAATTCAATTATTTAATTATGATCTTCTGATGAATTTCTGGAACGAATCAAATTATTTTAAATATAAACTTGAGGGAAAACGCTTTTTGCATTACGAACATTCCGCACGGCGTAACGAATCCAGAACGGATTAGTTTCAATATTCGGAGAATTCCTGTATTTTTTATCTTTGAGTTAACGGGGTTCAATGCATTTTTCCTTCGAGTTAAATTGAAATTTACTTTAAATTTTGACCGATTACTTTCGGTATGCGGGAACTCACTGTATTTACAATTTTTTTTAGCTAACGTGGTTCAGTACATTTTTCCGTTTCATTAAATTGAAACTTAAGTGAAATGTTAACTTCTTCGCAAAATTGAATTATTAATAATTATTATTGATGATTATAATGAATGATAACGATAATGATAGCAATGTTTTATTGATCGTAATTACTGTATAAATATTTTTCGTACCGTTAAATTATATGCCAACTTTTATTCGTTTTCGAATCGCATGCAGTATGATTGTAAAACAACGTTCCATTCCTACGTTGAACGCAGACTATGGAAAAGAAGCCTTCGAAACCCGTGGCTCCAGTGGCCCCTCTTCAAGCCTCGTCCTCCTCGTCTTCCTCATCTTCCCTCTCGTCCATGTCGTCATCATCTGGTGACGAATCGTCGAGCAAGCGCCGGAAAAGCAAGAAGAAACCGAAGAAAAAAAAGAAGACGAAGAAAGCGAAGAAAGACAGGAAGTCGAAAAAATCTGATGACTTGTCAGGCGAAGAAGACGAGCATCCTCCGGCGAATCTTGCAGAAACCGAAGGCTTTCACGGTCGCAAGGGGGAATACTGGGAACAAGTGGAGCAACTTCGACGAGAAATGGAGCAAAAAAGCAAGGACAAGTATTCCGACGAGAGCAAAAAGGACGATCGTCGCTCCAAACGCCGTCATAGGTCTGGCTCGAGTGACGAAGAGCAGAAGCAGCCTCGACGGAAATCCCGGAGAGAACCGTCGAATGACGACTTTGACGATGATCGTCACCGTGGCTTCGGTGGATTGGCAGCTGTTGATCCAACGCTGAGGAACATGGATAGTAGACGTCGTCGTCAGGGACGCCGGGAATCCGGGTCTAGGGACCGAATTCCAAACAATGGTCTTAGGAAACGGGATGAAGAAAGCGACGGTCGAAGACTTCGTTCTAGGTCGTCACCTCGGCGTGAAGATCCGTCGCCGAAGCGGCGTCAGCGATCTCCGTTGAAGGATCGTGAACAACGTCGTCGCTCGGGATCCGTCGAGAAAGTGTCGACGGACTCGAGACGTGATCGTGGACGGTCTGTGTCGAAAGAGCATCGCGAACCTGGGGATAAACGACGTCTAGAGGATGATCGTCGTCGCAGTCGTCGTGACCGTCACGATTCGGACGCCGCTGATCGCAAAAAGTCGGACTCTGTTTCTGACAGAAAAGAAACGAGGCGTCGTGAGTCGGAGTTGCCGCCGGAAAGAAGGCGTCGTGAGTCTGAGGTGTCACCGGGAAGAAGGCGCCGTGAGTCAGGGGATGCCGCACGAGACAAGCACACCTCTGACGCTAGTTCCGACTCTGATGAACATTCTCGGTCGCGTCGTTCGGACGTGGAGAAGAAGAAGAAGAAATTGTCAGCGTCTCCGAGGAGAAAACCTCCGCGCGATGAGGACAGACGACCTTCCCCTGTGGCGGAATCTCGTCGTCGCAGTCGTTCTCCCGACGTGATGCAGGAGAATCAAAGTCGTAGAACCAACAGAGATAGAGTGAGTAATCGCTTGTTTTTTTGTTTTTTTTTTTCATGGTGAAGCTCCCTGAATTAAACTCTTTCAATTTCGCCATGATTTTATAATGTACAGGGTGGATATCGCCCGAAATTTTATTATGCCTAGATCAGGTTTGAGAATCTTGAAACGCTTGATCCCTCGTTGGAACTCGGAAATTTCCTAAGCTTTTGTCTCTGGATCTCTGCTAAGAGGTAGAGTGAGTCCCCGACGAAAAATTCGCATAACGACATTTTCAATAGGGGAAAAAGTGACTCACATAACAAAATTGTTTAAAATGATAACATTTTTGGGCCCAAAAATACAGGTACCCAAATTTCATAAAGTTTTTAATTAAAATTTAAGAATTTGTTTTAAATTGAGGAAAATAAAAAGGAATTGCATATTTTTGCCTCTTGTCTTTGACATTTGTGCAATTCAGAAATGACAGAAAACAAACGGACCAGGATTACTTAAATTTCATTCAAATACAATTTTTAATAAGAAATTTTGTACACAAAAACTAGGAAAAAATAAACACTTCTAATGGTCTATTATGGGTTTTTTTGTGTTAGGAAAAAATTGAATCATAAATAGTGCAATCTTGAGGCAAATTGCGCTTTGCATTGCGAAAAATCTCCAGAACGAAACACACCCAGGAAATGATATTATTATTATTAATTCCTCTTCATTGATGGAAAAGAAGTTGCATTCGTCTATGGTATTGAACAAAATATGCCCTCGATTTTTCTCAAGCAGAGAATAACAAGAAAGACATTGCAAATGTTTTGCGCTCCTTTCGAATGCCCTGTAAATAAATAAATCCGCGTGATTAAACTACAGTGATTATCACGTTTTAAAATTGATTTCTTCGTTTCGGCAGTCGCCAGTAAACGTGGATCGTCGCAGGCAAGCGTCTCCTCGTGGAAGAAGCAATCGGAAAGACGACGTCTCTCCGAAACCTGCCGAAGAACCACGTCGTCGTCAACGTCGCTCTCCGTCTCCAGACCGTCGACTGTCCTCTCGGGTTGTCGAACCCGTTCGTGTACCTCAAGACGAGAAGAAACGCGTTTCCGACGAAGACCAGCGGAGGCACTCGAGTGTTGAACAACGTCGTCCTGCTCGTTCGAGTTCAAGCTCGTCCTCGTCGACGTCGTCCTCTTCTTCATCGTCGTCATCGTCATCAGACGAAGAGAAGGGCGACGAAAAAAAGGACAGGGTTGTTTCAAGTTCGCGAGAAAGGCGGCCTTCACCTGACGAACGTTCTGCTGAAAAAATGAAGGAGAAGAAAAAGGAGGGTGAACAACGAATTGACGCGTCAGATAATTCGCGTCGTCAGCGCCGAAGAAGCGTGTCGGCGCCGTCGTCGCCAGGCAGAACGAGTGTCGAAGACGTCGATGTAAAGCCGTTGTTGTCGGGGCCTCGTGGCCGCGAGTCGGATTCGCAAAGGCACGTCGTTGGTCGTCGTCGTTCGCCGTCTTCGGAAAAACGGACGTCGTCTGCTGCTGCTCGGAGCCCTCTAAATTCCGCCCGTTCTCCTTCTCCGAAACGGATTGATGAAGAAGAAGAAGAACGACGTAGTCGGCGTCAACGTCGGGGTAGTCGAGAAATGGCGGGAGAGCGACGGAATGAAAGTGACGGTAGGAGGAGGGAGAAGAGTTCCGAATTGGATCGCGAAAGACCTGAGAGAGGTGATCGTCGTCGTCCGTCTCCTGACAATCGCCGTCGTCGTCCGTCTCCTGACAATCTCCGTCGTCGTCCGTCTCCTGACAATCACCGTCGTCGTCCGTCTCATGAAAATCTTCGTCGTCGTCCGTCTCCTGACAATCTCCGTCTTCGTCCGTCTCCTGACAATCGCCGTCGTCGTGGAGACCGCAGTCCTGAACCCAGGAGTGTTGAGAGAGCTGAGAGAACACGCGCAGAAGAGTCGAAAAGCTCCAGTGAGTTCAATAAATTTTTCTCTGTGCGACATCAGCACAGTATTATACTGTACTCCAATAAAATGTCAGTATCACGGCAAATCAATGATTTTCAGTGTTTTGTTGTTGTGAAAACGTCATTTGGGAGTTTTAAGCAGTTGGATTCTCTTCCGGGAAGGATAGTTTTCGAATATTTATTCTTATTCCGTACTTCATTATGCAGGTGGACTCTTTCTCCAACGATTTCTTCTGTGAAATGACTTTTTTTGTCCCATGGGGTTCTCTCCCCACTTCGTTCTCAGCAACTGACCTTTTTTTGTTCCTTGAAATTTCGTTCAAACGAAATCTTCCTTACAACGAATTTGTTATGAATTTTTGGAGAATGAGTCCACCTCGTACTGTATTTTTCCATGTTACGTAATTTTACCTCAAATCCGTCGAAATACCATAGAATCTCTTTTCAACGTTGGGACCAATTAGATAGCTTCATTATATAAGAAAAACTCGAGTTAAGCGAACTCAAGTAACATCGCAGGTTTTGCACGAGGACACACAAAAATTTGTTATCGATTATTCTTTATGGAGAAATTCGTTGTAGCGAGGTTCTACTGTAACAGAAAAGTCAAGATGGACAAGGATGAACACATAAATAAAAAGAACTTAGTGTTTGACGGCAACATGTCACATTCTTGAATTTTTCTATATTTTCTTCAGGTACATATTCACTTTTGTTAGCGTTATTTTCGGTCGATTCAAGCGACTTCTGTGTAAGAGTGATGAGAAATAGATGAGGTGTGAACTTGAAGTGAAATAAACCTTCAGTAATATTTTTTTCGATCTAAGAAAGGGGCACCATTTCAAAAACCGGAAGTGCGTATCACATTTTTTTATAGCCCGAGTTGCTTGTCATTTTTCCTTTCCGAAATTATAGTGTCAGCACAAATCCATTTTAGATTCCTCTAATTTGAAAGTATCGCCTCGCTTTCAAGAGCACGTGTCAAATCAATCGCCGTCCCGACCGAAAGTGAATTGACTTACCTCAGAAGAAAGCGAACAAATTTATAAAAATTTTAAAATGAAAGACTTTGCTGCTGAATTCGTGTCATTTCGACTTTCGATGGAGTTGTGATCTTTCTAAAAACGAGAAATTTGAAAGAATGCTAGAATTAACTTGTATTGAAAGTCATGCCGTTACATTCATTTCTTTCTTTCCTCCCTTTTAATTCAGGGGCACAGGAGAGAAGTCGTCGCTCTCGTTCTCACGATCGCCGTCGAGTTTCCCCCGGGGACACTCGTCGGAGTGATCGCGACGAAGATCATCGTCGTCGCGATAGCCGTCGTCGCAAAAGTCCAGATGTGGAAGCCGAACGTCGGCAACCACGACGCGATTCCCGTACTAGGATAGACTCGAGTAAAAGCCATCGGTCCCGAAGCACTGAAGGGAAAATGTCGACAGGAGGCAGCGGAAAACCGACAGTTGTTTGTGCCCCTCGAATGAAGACGCCTGTCGACACTGAGAGAGGCGAGAAGAGGAAGAAGAAGGACGCTGATTCCTCTTCGTCGTCGTCGTCGGATGATTCAGATTCGAGTTCGTCTTCGTCATCATCTTGAGAAACGTCCAGAGCGTGTTTCAAATAATTCGAAATGTTCTTTTTTTTCATTCGAATTTTTGTTTGTCGTGTGTGCGTTGATTGTTTAAAAAAAAATTCCAGACGCACGGATTTTTTATTCATTTTATTTTTTCCGATTGTTGTGATATTCCAATTTTTTCGATTGTAAGAGGACGTAAAAACGTTTTATTTTTCTCCAGTTTTTTTCAAGCAGGGGCATTTGTGATCTGTAACTTCTGCTTTTCTGAGTGGTGAGGGAAGAAAATCTCGTGGTTGTGTCAGAAAGATTCTCTCGTAAAGGAACATGGATCCAGGAATGTTGTCAGTTCGAGGCTCCCGCACGTCGGGGACGAACATCAGGAGCCAAAATGGTGAGATATTTCATCATTCATTCCCGTAATGGCGACAACCACTCGATGCATGTGCAGTTTGTGCCTGAATGGGTTTTTTTTTCTGGTTTTAGTCATGGCAGCTGCGTCAATTGCGAACGTTGTGAAGAGTTCATTGGGGCCAGTTGGTCTGGACAAGATGCTGGTTGATGACATCGGGGTAAGATGTTGTTCCGTTTTTCTTTCAGGTTCGAAGTCCGGTCTCCGTCAGTTTAATTTGCCTTCGTGCAGATGTCGCTTGCACTGCGTAATGCTAGAGCAAAATTCAGAAGTTAAATTAAACTTCGTTGGTATGGTGATACGTTTTTTTTTTTTTTTTTTGGAAATTTAGTAGAACTAGTTTATTTCCCAGTGTATTCATGTAAGCCACGAAATTATTTTCCTTTTTTTGTGCTAGGATGTGACTATAACCAATGATGGAGCAACTATTCTGCGGCTGTTGGAAGTTGAGCATCCAGCTGCGAAAGTTCTGGTTGAATTGGCACAGTTGCAGGACGAAGAAGTTGGCGATGGGACGACAAGTGTCGTGAGTTTCCGATTTCGTGGAATTTTTGGCGTCCTTCGCACTTTTTTTCCGGTGCCTTTTGGCAAAGAGAGATAATACTGTAATTGAATTTTCAATTAAATTCAAACCTCTCCAAGTCGAATTCAGGAGAAGAAGAAAATTTGGAGTTTTTGATCAAATGAACCAGAATTTTTTCCCCGGAAAAAATGGAGAACTACAGGAAGTTAAAATGGGTGATTTTGAATGTGATATTGTATGAATTGATAGGATGTTGAATTTTAAAGAAAAAGGAAGTTTGCTCAATTAGTCACTTCCTTTTGAAACCATCAAGTGTTTTTTTTTATCGCTTTTCTATTTCCTTGGTCCCCAAAATGACAGCCCTCAAGAAATTCAGAGAAGTTAGACGAGGAAAGGGATTCATGGATTTTTTGTTGTCGAGAGAATTCAGACTTGGACTAAACAAATATTCAAGATGGGAAGGTTTGAATCATCGAGGTTTAATTGTACTGTATCCAATTTTATGCTTGATGAAGATTTGTTCAATGATACTTTTTTTCAACTGAGGATTAAAAAAAATTTTTTCTACGATAATTTCAGGTGATTTTCGCCGCCGAACTTTTGAGGAATGCCGATGATCTCGTGCGACAGAAGATCCATCCAACGTCTATCATCAGTGGTTACAGGCTTGCTTGCAAGTGAGCGACTTTCTTGTCTTCGTATGCGAGAGGAGTTTCTGAAATCCGCGTGTTGTTCCGAAAAATTGTACAATATTGTACCGCCTGTTTTCCGAATTTTTATGCTTCATTTCGTTCTCTTTCAACATTTTCCGCATCTCAATCGATTTGAATGCATTCTCTGGTTCACTTTATCCGAGAAGTGAACGTTTTACTCTTTTAAAAATGCCGGTTTTAGCCCTTCGGCTGTAAACTTCGAATTTCCACTTCTGAAATTTCCCTGCGAATTATTCAAGATTTCTGGCATCATTGCAAACGTTTGTAAAAAAAAGCAGGTTTTATCGATTGTCACCTAACTTACTCAAGTGCCAAAATTTCTTGTTTGGCAATACTGTACTACAGAGAATTGAAAACTGGAAAATGATGAGAACATTGTCCGAAATGATTAACCGTCTAAATTATCCTTCAGCTTTGAATTACTCCTTAAACAAGATGAAAATTGAAATTGAAACCAAAATCGAAGCATCTTTTCATAATCCTCTGTTGATCTCTGTGATCAATTATCTGCTTTCTCGCCAGTTTGTAGGTGTGTTTGATGTCATTAATTATTGATGAAGATTAGTCATGGAGGATACTTGCTAGTCTTCGTGCTATCATTTAAGTGGTACCTCTGCGATGAGGCAAGAAAAAATAAGCCCTTTCCAAGTCTTTTACACCAAAGGCGAACGTATTTTTTCTCGTTTTCTAGGGAAGCAGTGAAATTCATTCAAGAGCATTTGATCATCCCTGTGGAATCTTTGGGCCAGGAATGCCTAATCAATGCAGCGAAAACGTCCATGTCGTCGAAACTGATTGGAGCGTGAGTTTTTTTTTTTTTAAGGTCCTTCCTTCCTTTGTTCATCATTTGGGGAAAACTTGAATCCAGACGAATCTCATGTTTTCGGAGTATATATTACTATTCATGGATTTTGTCGAAATGAAGTTGTTTTGCGTCTGTGAATATGACATCCTGTGTCTGGTCTTGAATAAAAAAAAAGTAAGAAGAATTAGAGAAAGCTGTAATAAATTATATTGTGGGCCTCAAATAGAATTTTAAATGAGTTGACAGGATGCTGAACTTAAAGTCAAGGGTTCATTGGCTCTTGTTAGTCTTTCACTTCCTTTCAGAACATATCGAGTTACAATTCTATTGCTCTTCTCTTTCCTGTGTCAATAAAATAGCAGCCGAATGCCTCCAGAAAATTCGAGTTGCTGAGTTTTTCGGAGGAGAGTCTTTGAGTTCGGGAGGTTAATAATTAATTGTTTCAGACACGGACTTGAAAAAATTCTAATTCGTGAGATTCAAGAGTAGAAATTGAGATTTTTGTGAAAAATATGGCTGCCATCATTATTTTTCAAATGTGCAAACGATTTTATTCTTGTGTGGTTTGCATCTCTTCTCTCGTTTCGGAGCGTTTCGGCTGCCTTTTTGATAATTCGTGTCATTTTGAACATTTATTCATAAAATACTGTGTATATTTTTATCCAAGAATTTATTCAGAAAATTGAGAAGTATGTATGACGTGCAATGCAGTAGCTTCATTTTAGCCGGGTGACTTTTTGGGGTTCTGGAACCCATCGGCTATTCTGTGCACAGCTCAACTGAATTTATTTGATTGACTTGTGAGTAATTGATTCGTTATATTAATTTCCTCACAGGGATGCGGAATTCTTCTCCAAAATGGCAGTCGAAGCTGTGCAAGCAGTCAAGATATCTGATGGCAAAGGAGGCTTCAAGTATCCGGTGAAGGCCATCAACGTGCTGAAGGCTCATGGGAAAAGTGCGCGGGAGAGTCTGTCCATCTCTGGTTACGCCATCAACTGCACAATTGCTTCGAAAGGTCCCCTGTTTGATTTTGTTTTTATTCGTATCAGTGTTTTGTTTCAAATGGGGATTTGCAATGTAATTGAATAGCGGATTTTAACCTTTTGTTCTGGTTTTACAGCCATGAAGAGCAGAATTGCCCCGGCCAAAATCGCTTGTCTGGATTTCTCCTTGCAGAAGGCCAAGATGAAGTTGGGTGTTCAGGTTAGTCTTTTTTTTTTTTTTTGTGGTTTACTATTCTCGTGATGTTTTCTTCTCTGTGATGATCGCGCTTTCCAAGTGATTCAAGTTTAGTTTTTGCGTATTACCCTGATCAACGTAATTTAAGGTAAGCTGACAGAAAGTCACGAGATGTTTTATTTCGATGGGCCTGCTATTTTAAATTCTTATGTGGTCTAAACGCGGGATTCTTTTTTTCGTTGTTGTGGGACTGGGGCATGGAGATGCAACGAAAAAAAACAGATTCATTTTTGACGCAGCCGGATTAGCAGTGAAACACTAAATTGTATGATTCAATTTTTTAAAACGAGTCTGTGTGCAAAAAAGCGTTGCTGTTCTTGAGGTTTTTCATTTTACGATTTTTCTCAAATTCTTTCTTCATTTGTCACTCTATATGTGACATTTGGCGTTAAAGTTTAACTTATGAAGCTTTTTATTTGCAGGTTCTGATCACAGACCCTGAGAAATTGGAGGCCATCAGAGACCGTGAATCCGACATCACTAAAGAACGAGTGCACAAGATTCTCGCTACGGGGGCAAACGTGATTCTCACAACCGGTGGAATTGATGACTTGTGCCTTAAGGTAACCCAGCCCTGAATGAATTCATGTGATGATTCATTTTTTAAAATTTGAGAACGTTTGTTCTGCTTATAAGGCAGATTTTGTCGCGTTTTACTGAACTCGTGTGTGTGTGGTTGGAAATTTCTACTTTTTTTTTTTTTTACGAGTTGCAAAAGTTACCTGTTCAGCCACTTTTTTCATGAGAGGCAGGTATTGCAACGATTGAAATTTTGAATAATTTATAAAATTTAGCTATGTTACGATCAACCATAAGATTCATATGAAGTGGATTTTTTTTTCAAAAGAAACAAACTACTGACTTTGGACAATTTTTGAATATAGTCTCATTACATTTTCAGATATTCTGTGTACAATAATCATTTGAATATTCTATGTAATCTAAATCAGTGTTTCCCAACCTTTTTGGGCCCACGGACCCGCAAATTTTCCTCAAATATTTTTGCAGACTGGCAAATTTCCCAAAAAAAAAGAATTCTGAGGACTGGCAAAGTTTCTTAAAATTTTTGCAGACTCAAAAATGTTTTGCTTGAAGGACTTCATGGCAGGCGTTTAAAAAGTTTCTGCTTTTTTACAAAAATTGGAAACCAATGAAGCAAATACAGTGAAAGGGGTCTTCAAAAATTAGAAGGGTGGGTTTGAAGAAAGGTTTCTCAGAAGAAAAAATAAAGAATATAATTCATTTCAGCTGGTGAAAATTTGTCTGCAGTGTTATTAGGAGACAAGCCAATTTTTCTTTTCCTCAGATAACTTCAATTGCGATCGTCTTTCCAAATTTTCAGATGAAGAAACCAGACTTTATTTTTGTTCCAATTTTTATGCGGCAGAAAATTTGCTGTGGACTGGCAAAAAAATTCTGTCATGATCGGCGCCGGTTAGCGGATCATGGGTTGGGAAACACTGATCTACATAACTTTTATAAACTCTGTATAATTTATATGGAAAGTATTTAATGTCAATAAAATCTGTACTGATGCAATAGTTTCTATAAAATCAATGTAATTTCTATGGCGGGTTCGTTATATGCGGTGATTGTTGACTGTGGGTCTCGATGGTATTTGTATACAGTACTTCGTGGAGAACGGAGCGATGGCTGTGCGACGAGTGAAAAAGGCGGACTTGAAGCGTGTGGCCAAGGCCACGGGCGCCACTGTCCTCTCGTCGCTGGCCAACCTGGAAGGCGAGGAGAGCTTCGAAGCCGCGAGTCTGGGCGAGGCCGCCGAAGTGGCCCAAGAGCGCATTTGCGACGACGACCTCATCCTCGTGCGTGGCCCCAAGGCCCACTCTGCGGCCAGCGTCATTCTCCGCGGCCCCAACGACTTTTACTGCGACGAGATGGAGCGGTCCATGCACGATGCGCTTTGCGTCGTCCGACGTGTGCTGGAGAGCAAGTCCGTCGTGGCCGGTGGCGGCGCCGTCGAGGCCGCCTTGAGCATTTATCTCGAGAACTTTGCCACGTCCATGGTAAGTTGAGAGACTGAGGGTCGGAGAATAAAGTGCAATGCGGTCAACAGATTGCTGAGGGTTTAAGGCAAAAAGCTAAATACCACCCGAATTAAAATTTCGAACATGTGATTAGGCTGGTCTTACCCAAGCTACCACAAGATTGACAATTAACCTGGATAGGAGGACGACATGGTAAAGAAAGAGCAGTAGGGTCACAGCAAGTGGTATTCCCTTGCATTTGTATGTAAGTTGTTATCCTAATTTTGCTGGACAAAATAAAAGAGCTGGTGAGTCTTGAGAAAAGTCTTACTGCTATGTCTAACAGAAAGTTTTCTACCAACCTCAGAATCTTTAGATTATGCTTTTAATGGATCTTGGTCTAACTTAAATTGTTCTCTGGGTGCTTAGCGGGCCAAAGGATTTTTGGAAGGTTGAAATAAAGAACTGCCAAGGCAGTGACAATATATTTCAGTATGCACACAAATACAGTTGGCAAGAGTCCGGACACAAATGCTACTGAATACAGGGTTTCACCAGAGTTTAAAGAACTGCAATGGTCAGCCAGCAGGTGAATCAACTCGCTGGCTGGCCCAAAAATAAAGGTGGTAAACATGCACACTTGCATGCATGGGGACAGCAGCAGGCTATACAGCTTGCTGGCCTTGATGCAACTGCACATGACTGTATCTTTATGCAGTCATGAATTCCTAGCTCAGGCTGAGAGGAAAAGAAAACACATGAGAAACATGAAGAGCTTGCATGCGCAGCGCTGCTCATAAAAATATTTTTTAGATCACAAAGTGATATTACTGATAACATGATACTCCATGAAAGTTTCAAGATGTATTCCTCCAATGCTCCACAGATTGTTGTTTAACTCATAAAAATCAGATAAACCCAAGCATTATGTTTTAAGAACAGTGCCAAAACACCTTTCTCAAGGCTTTTCAGTTACCCTTCAACAGAGTACTTACTCTCTTTTGATGGAAAAGTTTGTTGATTGAGTTACGTGTTGGGGCTAATAATGCATTAATATGAGGTTGAAATGTATATTTTTCTCCCTAATGGTTGTCTATATGAAGCATTTAATTTTGAAGCTCTTTATGTCTTGCTGCAGAATGCGTGGGATATTTACTGTAGTTATATTGTATAGGAAATCATGTTCAAAGTGGAATAATCAGTGAGTCCCAGCATGATGAAAAAAATCCACGCAGCGAAATTTGTTTCACATAACTATATTTTATGTCCCCAAAAATGCTTGACGTTCAGCAAGTTTTTGACCAAAACTTGGGAATTTTCGGAAACTTGAGGAAAAAGTATGTTCGCCTTTAAAATTTTTGAAATTCAAAAACGGTCAAAGCACAATTTCATCAGGATTACTTGAATTTCATACAATTTAATGTTGAACTCGAAATTTTGCCTTGAGAACTAAGAAGAAAGAGTTTTAATGGTTTATCAAGGCTTTTTGGCAAGTGTCTGAAACAAATTAAATAATTGACAATGCAACATTATGAAAAAAATTGCGCTTTGAATTACGAAAATTCTGCATGACAAAACACATCCAGGAACGGATTAGTATTTCGTTGTGCGGGGACCCACTGTATTATCATCAATTGTCTTCTTCAAAAATTTTTAAATTCGAAAAGGTCATAGCCTTAAATTTCATCTCAAATTTTTGAAAGGTCAAAGCACGATTTCATCAGGAATACTTGAATTTCATACAATTTAATGTTGAACTCGAAATTTTGCCGTGAGAACTAAGAAAAATGAATTTTAATGGTTTATCAAAGCTTTTTGGTAAGTGTCCGAAACAAATTACATAATTGGCAATGCAACATTAGAAAAAAAAATTTGCGAGTTGAATATCGAAAATTCTGCATGACAAAACACATCCAGGAACGGATTAGTATTTCGTTACGCGTGGACCCGCTGTATTATCATCAATGCCCCGTCAAACGAGCGTCTTCATCGATAAAAAAAAGTTTTACTGGTCCATGGTATGATTCAAATATTGGCTTCTTTTGTTTCTCAAGCAGATGACTGAACAAAAGGCATGGCACATGTTTTTCCCTCCTTTTGAATGCTTATATTATAATGCGAATAAATTGTCGTGATTATACTTAATTATCACGTTTTAAATGAATTTTCTCGTGAAGGGGAAATTGTTCGTTGTTCTACTAAAAACTCCGTGTGACAAGAAACGCCCAAGGGATAATATCTTTTACGCGGGGACCCAGTGTATTATTACTATTTTTCCTAGGAATGATTGTTTTTGAATTATTATTTCATTTATTCTTGTAGGCATGCAGAGAGCAGTTGGCGATCGCGGAATTTGCCAGGGCCTTGTTGTCCATCCCGAAGACCCTGGCGGTGAATGCTGCGCAAGATGCGACGGATTTGGTAGCAAAGCTGCGTGCCTACCACAATGCGGCCCAAACTGCCAAGGACAAGGGCGACCTCAAGTGGTGAGAAATGGGTTCAGTTGGTGTTCTGTTTTCGTTTCCCACTGGTAGATGTCGCACGCTTTATCGATGTACTGGAGAAGGAAGTCAAATGAAAAATCCGAGGCATTTCTACTCGGACGTGTGGTGAAAGGGCGATGATTCATGTAGAACACGGGGAACCAATTTATGCGATAACCGAGTTTTATTTTTTATTTTTTTTACTTTGTTTGAATGGATTTTTTTTTAAATTCGGTGTATCCCACTTGTGTCATAGTACTGTACTTCAGGACTATCTTTGCAGATGGCATGTGAAAATGATTGCCGTCACCTTAAATTGGATTGAGTCGAATTCAATTCGGCCGTTTTGAGGTCACAGATGATCCCGAAGGATTCGATATAAAAATCCTCGCACGTGACCTTGCGTCTGGATTTTTTTTTTTTTTTGTTCTCGAAGGCAAGCGTGACTCGGCCAAAATTTGAAAGAAATCCTTTTTTTTTTTCGAAGAACGGTGAATATGCCAGATTTCATTTTTGCCTGTAACTGGATTTCGCCGAGCTTGCATAAAAATACTTTTTTCCATGCTTGGGTCGAGCTAGATGTGAAGTGAAAGAATGACTGGTCTTTAAATGCTTCCTGTAAATTTGGTGAGTCACCAAGAGACTTGTTTCCTTCGAAAGTGGGATTTCAAATGAAAAGTCGTTAGTTTAAAACATTTATCACCTGTTTCCCCGTAAAATACCAGTCCTACATACTCCAACCAAAAACATCGTTAATAACGAATTTTTCGCTGTTACTGTATCAAGTTCCTGGAAAGTCGTTGTAACGAGATTTCACTGCGTTATTCAATTGGAATTGAGAGTCTTTTAAGGTTTCCGAGACACACTGCTGTCGAAAACAGTTGCAGAATACGAGCTTCCAATAATGCCCGTGGTCCGATCTTTGGAAATTTGCCGGTCTGCAAGAAATTGCATGGAGATGTGCCATCCAGCAAAATTTTTATGGAAATTCGCCAGTCCAAGAAACATTTCATGGAAATTCGAATTATGGAAATTTTCTAGTCCGCAAAAAATTCTATGGAAATTTGCCGGTCTATGAACGTAAACGGAGTTGAGGAACACTGTAGGAGGGTTGGTTCATAAGTTTTGATACTTTTTGAAATAGATCCAACGGAATTAAAACAAAAAAATCCAAAAATAATTTTTGTTTCCTCGCATAGCCCCATCCTTTGGCAACACTGCAGTGCTGTTCGACATTCTCTCCGCTGATTTCAATGTGTTTTATTTTTCATGCCATAAATCCAACAATCAGAACAGTGCCAAAAATCGAGGTCCGTTATTTGATTTAAAATGCTCTTCAAAGGCGGAAATGAAGCTGTCCCTTGTCCTCAAAATCAATCCCTTTCCGGTCCTTCTCTCCACTGTCGCGAACAGCCAGAATCAAGTCCCAGGGTGCCTTAACAACAAACAGAACTCGATTTTTGGCAAATGTTTCAATTGTTGGATTTATTGGATGAAGGAAAAAAATGCATTGAAATTGGCAGAGAGTATGTTGAACAGCACTGAAGTGTTGCCAAATGATGGGGCTATGCAAGGACAAATTTATTTTTGGGATTATTGAAACTCTGTTGGATATACAGTGGACCCCAAGATGCAGACGTAATTTGTGCATCAAGAGTGTCCCTAAGTTGAGTCTCATTTTCCCTTAGACTTACATTATATAATTTTTAATTAAACTGATTCAATCAATATATTTCAACACAATATGGACATTTGGAGAATTGAATACTGATACATCTGTAAAGTACATAGAAATGTTGGCATTCTCTGTAAAATTAAGATTTAATTGAAAAAGAGAGAAGGATGTCACTCTGTTCTGGAGGTAATTTTTTAAATAAGATAAATGGGTGGTAAATTGGTGAGAGAAATGCACAAGAACTTTTCTCACATCAATTTTAGGGCTGGAAATATCTGTTTCATGTAATTTGGCCTGAAACTTATTTGCAATTTTATCACAAAATTTTCCAATGTTGAGTCAGTGTCCTCATGTATGGGCCTTTTCTAGGTACTTTTCTGTTATCTCTGTACCTTCCCTCTGACCAATTTAACCTGACCTAGCCTAACTTCACCTAACCGCCTCCCAAAATCAGTTTCTGCTTTCATTAAGTTTCTGCTGAAACTGATTTTGGGAGGTGGTTAGGTAAAATTAGGTTAGGTCAGGTTATGTTAATTAAAAGATATTTATAACTAACATAACCTGACCTAACCTAACTTTACCTGACCACCTCCCAAAATCAGTTTCAGCAGAATGAGGAAAAATAAAATTCACAGTTTCTGGTAGGTTGTTTTGATTATGAACTCATCCTGAAGATTTGTCTGGATATTAGTGCAGTCTAGGAATGAGGTACAGAGATAACAGGAAAGTACCCTTTTGGTCTATTAATTTTTTATGGGAAAAGAAGTGTCCCTATGTTGAATTGTCTGCATGTTGGGGTGTCTGCATGTGGGGGGTCTCACTGTATATTTCAAAAAGTCTCAAAACTTATGAACAAACCCATGTACATTTGAGTACATGGGCCATTGATTCCTCATTTACAGGAGGTGGTGTGTGTTGGTTGTTGCTTTGCTTAATTCCTGTATCCCCCCTCTGTGTTCCTCCATTAAAGGTACGGTTTGGACTTGATGGAAGGCAAGGTGCGAGACAACAAGCTGGCCGGCGTCCTGGAGCCGACGGTGTCCAAAGTCAAGTGCATCAAGTTCGCCACGGAGGCGGCCATCACGATTCTCCGCATCGACGACCTCATCAAGCTGGAGCCTGAAGGCGGCGACGAACGCTCTTATCCGATGCGTCATTGATTCCCCCCCCCCCCTTTTTTTCTCCTCCTTTTTAGTTTTCAATTAATTTGTTTTTCTTGTCGACTGCGTGTGGTGGGCTCTTTGAAGAACAAGGACGGTGAGGGGATGATGAATGGATGGAGAAGAACAAGCAAGGGACCCGCGAGAAGAGAAGAAGGAAAACGCAGCGACGAGTGCTAATCCTAAACTTAAACTTCGCCACTGAACAATTCCAAGAAAAACCCTGTCACAACGGATGCTGTCGCGCAGAGCGAAGTGCGCATTAAACTGGCTCTGGAAGATTAGTTTGTCATTTTTCCTTTCCGAGTCACACACACACACTCACAGAATCTTGTAAATTTATCTTTTTTTTTTACATTTTAAATCTCGAGGACTTGAAAACGAACAAAGGTGTACGTTGAAGGCCTCAGTAAGCGCTCAGTCGATTGCAAATTTTTGTATTCCTTCAAAAATTTCAAGAGCTTTATTTTACAGTACAGTACAGTATATGCTTACGGTATTTGAAGTAACGAACTGTACAGTATTTATTTGAGTAACAGGCGCACGAGAGCTTTTCTTTCAAAATTTGGTATAAATCTGTACCCCCAAGTGAGATGCACACCTCATTTTTAGTTACTCTAAAAGTAAAATATTTTACAAAGTAACCCCCCCCCCCAAATTGAATTTAGGCATGAATTGATCCTGAATTTAACTAATTTTCAATTATTTCGATGAAACAAATTGTCTTCCCTTTTGAACGTTTTCAACTTGAAACTAGTCCAAAATGTCCCTCTAAAATCGAATATAATGCAACCTAAATTATTTTTGTTAAAAGTGTATACCCGTTTTCTCCCCTCTCAATCTTAAGAAAAAGGTGCGTGTGGTACTTTATTAAATACAGTACTGGAAAGAAACCAGCAGAGATATCTTTGTAAGGTAATATGCAGTGGAAGCCAGCAAACTTCCAATGCGCCAATTTTCTAATGATTGTGTTGATTGAAAAGTGACTGATCAAATGATCATCTCCCAACAGTCAATTTAAAAAATCAAAGATATCCAATATTGTTTGAGGTGGTGATTGAAAAGTTATGTTAATTATGCTAGGCATCACTGTACAAGTATATGACAATTTGTATTTAAGTTTATTTCACAAAAGGCACTTTGTAAACTTCTGCAGGTTTTTTTTCTGGTGTTGGATGTTCATTGCATCTATCCTGTTCAGTACAGTGAGACCCCCACAGCATGCAGACACCTTGACACGCAGACACTTTTTCCCATAAAAAATTACTAAAAAAGCCCAACATGAGGACACTGACTCAAAATAAGGACATTTTGTGATAAAATTGCAAAGACGTTTCAGGCCAAATTACAAGAAACAGATTTCCAACCCTAAAATTGTAAGAAAAGTTTTTGTGTATTTCTCTCACCAATTTACCACCTATTTAGCTAATTATAAAAATACCTCCAGGAAAGAGGGACTTCCTTCTCTCTTTTTCACTTGAATGGTATTTTTGAAGAGAATGCCAACACTTTCCATGTACTGTACAAAGGTACAAGTATTCAAATCCCCAAATGTCCATATCTTATTGAAATATATTGATTGAATCAGTTTAAAATGGGAGACAATTTTTATTTTCATGGAATTATGCTGGTGAGCATTTTGTGCATGTAACGCCGATTAAAAATTATATAATGTAAGTCTAAGGGAAAATGCAACTCAACTTAAGGACACTTTGACTTAGGGACACTCTTGATGCACCAATTATGTCTGCTTCTTGGGGTCTCGCTGTATTTTGTTTTTGCCAACATTCTTGAAAATGTTTCAAAATTATTTTTTAATGCTCAAATTTTTTGCAGGTTCCCATTTGATTTTGGTTATATCCAGAAATAATTGTTTTCTTTTATAATTCCGCATGCGAATTTTTTGCATTTCAACACACTATGTATGTACAACCATGATCAACAGCAACTTGGCATAACGCGAGGCTGATGCAAATGCGCAAAAAATGGGACATCAGTCCTACCGACACGATGCTGAAAAGTGCAGAAAAACCCTACGCACACTCCACTCTTTGGAGAAAGTGACTTGGATGGGCTACAATTCCTTGAAACAAACACACCCCTCGGGGGGCTTTGCTCGAGAGTGCAGCATCACTGCCGAGCAACAAAAAAAAAAATGGTCTTCACTTTCCTAAAATAAAAAAATTTTGTCTTTTTCGAAAAAGGAACGAAAGTTTCAACCGTTTTTCCCTTGGGAAGAGTTTTAGTTCTGTCTTCTTTTTTTTTTTTCTTTCTCTTGGGGTAACATCCGATTCACCTCAGCGCCTCCACGGATTCCAAAAAATTGTAAAAACGTCAAAAAGTCGGTTCCAGAAAAAAGAATTTCTTTTTTTTTTCTCTCTTTCCGCAAGGATTTCCAGCGCACCTAAGTGACTTCTTTTCCATATGGGTCAACCGCTGGGATGTTCGACTTTGGCGTGAATTTTTTTCTTTTTTGCAAGCTAAGCTTCCTTTTTTTCAATTTTTTTAAATCTTCGCTCGAAAAGTTTTCATCCCAGCTGCTTTTCCTTCTGGAATTGGAGTTCAAATAACTTAAAATTCAGCGAGTTCACGTTGGCTGGTCAAGAGGATTTTTTTCGATTTCTGATGTGTGACAGTGAAGCGCTGTCTTTTCCGTGGACGGATTTTTCGACAACCCTGAAATAAAGTGAGTTGCCATTTTGATATTTTTTTTAAAGGGGCTTGTGTCATGAATTTTTTGAGACATTATGCCATGAGAAACGGAGTCCCATTAATTCACAGGAGGTAGATGGATGCAACATATTCTTCACTTATAAACAGATGGGACAAAATGTTTGTGTTTTAAAAAAGGAAAATAAAATACAGGTTTGTGGCAGTTTAACAGGATTGATGGTTTATCAGAAAAGGTAAAATGATAATAGGAAGTAAAATGTTCATGCATCTAGAAAACAATGAAAATAACTCTGGGATGAGACAATTACAGTGAGACCCCCACATGCAGACACCTTGACATGGGGGCAATTTGACATGGGAACATTTTATTCAATAAAGAAATCATAAAAAAGGCGCAACATTTTACCTTTAGCAGAAGACCTGAACTAAGTTTTCCTCTGATAAAATGCTCCTGATTTAGTGCCACAAAATGAGAAATGACAAATAATGATGGCACTAAATTGGGGTTTGATTGATTGGCCGTCACCAAGTTTGACTCCAGTGTGAAGATTGCCTGGGTAATTTTAATGTTACTAATTAAATTAAGTAATTGCAAATAATTTACTAATGACAGTGTGTGGAAAATTCAACATAGGGACACTTATTTTCTCATTAAAAAAATTATGAAAAAGGCTCATACATGAGGACACTGACTAAACATAGGGACATTTTGTTATAAAATTGCAAATACGTTTCAGGCAAAATTACAAGAAACAAATATTTCCAACCCTAAAGTTGATGTAAGAAAAGTTCTTGTGCATTTCTCTCACCAATTTACCACCATTTAGCTAATTATAAAAATACCTCCACGAAAGAGGGACTTCCTTCTCTCTTTTTCACTTGAATGTTATTTTAACAGAGAATGCCAACATCTCTGTGTACTGTAAAGAAGTATCAGTATTCCATTCTCCAAATGTCCATATTGCGTTGAAATATATTGATTGAATCAGTTTAAATTGGGAGACCATTTTTATTTTCAGGGAATTATGCTGGTGAGTATTTTGTGCATGTAACACCAATTAAAAATTATATAATGTAAGTCTAAGGGAAAATGAGATTCAACTTAGGGAATTTTTGTCTTGGGGACACTCTTGATGCACCAATTATGTCTGCATCTTGGGGTTGTCTCACTGTATATGTTGATTTTTCTTTTTTTTTTGCTGCAGCTTCAGAGAGACCTGCCATTGTGAACTTCACTGGACCGCCAATTGCTCGCCTTTATCCAAACCTCTCTAATTTTTCTTTGTTTTTCTTTTCTTTCTTGTCTCAATTCAAGTGAATTGACACTATGCAGGACAAGTGGTACAAGTGCATGCAGTTGAGACACATGGCGAGCATGTTGCAGGCTGCGATGAGCGTGTGGATGCGTCTGAAGCCCCGATGCATGCGCATGAAGTGCGGACACCGTTTCAGCTCGCCAAACTCGTATTTGCCGACTTCTCTGCCGACGCCAGCCGCCTTTTCCATGACCGACTTGGAGTCGATGAGCTTCACGAGGGACGGGGATAGGAAGAGGCGGACGTACGCCTGCAGGACGAAGGCCATGGCCAGGATCAGGACCTGCGAAAAAAAAAATTATCAATAATGATGAGGATGATGTAAATGTTTCACAATAAAATCTTTTTACAAAATCTTTTTTCAGTGAAAAAAAATTTTGCTCAAGTCTCAGCAGAAAGCCTATATAGAGTAGTTTATAGTTCCTTAACCCATGGTCTGCAGAAGTTGTTTGCTGGTCTGCATGACATTTTCTGCAGCATAATAAAATTAAGAAATGTATCAAAAATAGCAATGTAATAGTCTGTTATTTTTGTCTGAAATTTTGGAAAGACAATGGCAATTGCAATTATGTGATTGGAAAAAATGGCTTTTGTTTTTCCATGGCTGTAAAAAAAAGTGAAAAATAATAATGATGTGAATGTTTCACAGTAAAATCTTTGTACAAAAGATTCTTTTTTCAGTAAAACAACATTTTTCTCAAGTCCCAGCAGAAAGCCTGTATAGAACAGTGTTCCTTAACCCATGGTCTGCAGAAGTTTTTTGCTGGTCTGCATGAAATTTTCTGCAGCATTATAAAATTTATCAAAAATAGCAGTGTAGTCCGTTATTTTTGTCTGAAATTTTAGAAAGACAATGGCAGTTGAAAGTATCTGATGGAAAAACAAAAGATGTCTTTTCATATCCTAATAACACTTTGACAAATTTGCACCTGCTGAAATAAATTATAGGCATTGTAATTTTTTAATTGTGAGAAACTTTCCTTCAAGTCCATCTTCATAATTATTTGAAGACATTCCACTATAGCTGCGTCATAGGTTTATAATTTTTGCAAAACACAGAAACATTTTAAATACTTGCCATGAAGTCTGTCAAGCTAAATTTTCTGAGTCTGCAAAAATGTTATGAAACATTGCTGGCCTGCAGAACATTTTTGAGAAATTTGCTGGTCCACAAGAGAATTTTCTGGAAATGTCCCAGTTTGCTGGCCCAAAGAGGTTAGGGAACCCTGCTGTACATGTCAAGGTAATCTCATTACAACCAACTTTCCAATTCCAGTATAACAAACATTTTTGAAGAAAAATTGCCCTTTTTTATACAAAAATCCCTAATCAAGGCAGGCACAGTATCAAATTTGCCCTTAAAAATGTGACAGTGACTGGTTCTTGGAACATAAATGGAAAGTGTAATCAAGGAGAAAAATTGTGCAGATGAAAAAATGAACCCAGCAAAACTCATGTTAGAAGAGGTTTAGGACTTGTTCAGAGTTTAGATGCTTGAGGAACCCTACTCAACAACTTCAAGCTTTTTTGGAACATCCATGCTTACAAATTTGTACAGGAATTAGTTTAAAAAACACAAATTTCACAAAAAGGGCAAGTGTTTACTTTTTATTCTGATTAAATGTCTGTCATTGACATTCACATTTTTCAAGATCAGTTTTTCAGGAATGGAAAAACAACTAAAAAGGCCTGAAAAATAAATTCTTGCATACATGCAGGTTTAATTTGAAACAATCTCCCCAGTGAATAATTTTGAAAATCTTGCTATAACAAATAATTTGTCATGACAAACTTTTGCTCAAGTCTCCACAAGTTTGTTGTAAAATAAAACCTTTTACTGTATATCATTTTCTTCACTTTAAATATATTTTGTGCCTTCATATATGAACAGTGTTTATTTTTCTTGCAGTTTGCTCACCTGGCTGTTGATCTGCTCCAGAAAACACTGGAAAAAATGCGGTGCTTGCTCATGTCTTTGAGAACGCTGCGAAGCCCAAGTTTTATCAGCCAGCAAGCCCTTGTACATCGCCAATACGACGAAGGCCCAGATCGAGTTCAGCAGAAAATACAAGGGGAACAGGACTCTCTGCACTTTGCCAAAAACGTGTCTCGGAACCTGGAAAAACAGCGCGATGCCTAAAGGAATAAAAAAATAAAGAAGAAGAAAAGAAGAGGAAAAAACCGCAAGGTGAAAAAGACTGATGAGAATAGATGAATGTTGTGTGAATGCCCCTTTTTGGGTGAAAATTTTTTTTTATAGTGAATTAATGCTGTTTCGCAATCTTTGACTTAAAATTGTTATAAAATCGTATCCCCAAGTAAGAACCCACCTCGACTTACTAAAAAAATGGGCAATATTTCAAAATTATGACAAACCCGAATTTGAATTTATACACGAATTCACTAAATTCATATTCAAGCATTTTTCATCTGCCATGTAATTCAATGAATAATGAAAATATTTTTGTTCCGTCAATCAATCTTTTGTTGGAAGTTTGTCCTCAGCAGAAATTTGAAAGATATTCCTGTGCCGTCAATCAGTTTTTATTTAAATTTTTGTAATTTTGCCTCCACAAAAATTGAAAGATTATTTTTTAATCTGTCAAATGTTTTGTTGTAAGTATGTCCTCAGCAAAAATTGGAAAGAAATTTCTGTGGCATCAATCAGTTTTTTTGATTTTGTAAATTTCCCCTAAAAAAAATTGAAAGATTTTTCTAACCTGTCAATCAAACTGTAGTTGAAAGTTTGTCCTCAAATCAAATTTGAGAGATATTTCTGTGCCGTCAATCAGTGTTATTATTTTTGAAATTTTTCCTCAACAAAAATTCAAAGATTTTTTTATCTGTCAAGGAATCTTTTATTGAAAGTTTGTCATGAGGAAAAATTTTAAAGATGTTCATGTGCCATTAATCAGTTTTCTTTTATTTCTAACAATTTTCCTCAACAAAAATTGAAAGATTATTTCTTGTTTCATCTGTCAAATCTTTTGTTGGAAGTTTGTCCTCAACAAAAATGTTACAGATATTTCTGTGCTGTTGGATCAGTTTTTTTGTTTTTGAAATTTTTCCTCAGCAAAAATTGAAAGATTTTTTTATATCTGTCAAGAAATCTTTTGTTGGAAGTGTGTCCTTCAACAAAAATTACAGGATTATTTGTTCATCTGTCAATCCCTCTTCTGTTGAAAGTTTGTCCTCAACAAAAATGTGAAAGATATTTCTGAACTCAGCTTTTTTTTTGTGGAAACTTTTCCTGAACAAAAATTAAAAGATTTTTTTTCTTGCAAGAAATCTTTGGTTGGAAGTTTTGTCTACAAAAATTTGAAAGATATGTCTGAGCCATCAACCAGTTTTTTTTTGTTTTTTTTGGAAATTCTTCCTCAACAAAAGTTGAAAGGTTTTCTTTTATCTGTCAAGATATCTTTCTTTGGAAGTTTGTCCTCATCAAAAATTAGAAGATTTTGTATTCTGTCGATTAATCTCTTTTTGTAGAAAGCTTTGAATAAGTTTTTTTTTTTTTTTTAGTTACCAGAAACGAAGGTCATCCAGATTTGGGATCCGAATTCCGTGGCGAAGGTTAGGACGTAGCACAAACTGCGCACGGGATCCAGAGATGTCGCCTCTCGCCGTTGCTCCATGTTGGGCTGCAGCACGTAAAAGAGCCCGATGGCGCAAACAATGGCTGCGAGGTTCATTGGCTCTGTCACGTTGGAAATGACACTGCGAACGAAAATGGAAGAACCGGAAGTGATGACGATGATGACGAAGAACAAGAAGAAGCTCTGCACGTGACTTGGGTTTTTTTTTTACCCCTGGAAGAGGGTGAAAACGCAAAATTTTGTAAGCCCTTTTTTTATGTTTCTGAGGAAGGTTTTTTTGAGTTCCGGAAAAAATTGGGATCAATTCGAGAAACTCTTGGGATATGATTTGGTTCAAGATTTTTGGTGCAACAAAATGGGAAATGACTTGGAAATTTTGGCATCAAGTTTCCTTTTCTACTGATTCAATAGTGGAATCTGTGAGATTTTGTAAATTTGGCTGAACGTTTTAAGGTTTAAGTAACAGTTACACTATATAAGCACTGAACTTCAATCAACCAGAATATTCTTTTGAAGTTTGAAGGAGATGACGTTCCTCCTTTTTAGTAGTTTTCATGAATATTCTTGCAAAAAATCTCAAATTGGAGCGTTCACCCTCTTTCTGAATGTCTTATTAGCAATCAAATGTTGTCTGCATGAGTTGCACTGTTCCATCAAAGGCCATACAGTGAGACCCCCAGATGCAGACATAATTGGTGCATCAAGAGTGTCCCTAAGTTGAGTCTTGTTTTCCCATAGTCTTACATTATATAATTTTTAATTGGAGTTTTATGGGAGAAATATTCTTCAGAATTCCATGGAAAAAAATTTTTCCACTTGATTTTGATTCAGTGAATATATTTTCAAGTCAATAAAGAACATTTGGAGCATAGAATACTGTATCTCTATATAGTACACATTGAAATGCTGGCATCTACAAAAATAACAATCAAGTCACAAAGAGAGAAGGAAGTCCTTCTATGCAATAGGTAATTTTTTTCATTAGCTGAATGGATGGAAAAATGATGGGAGAAATGACAAAGAATTTTTTCTTCCATAAATCTTAGGGTGGGAAGTATCTGTTTCTTGTAATCAAGCCAAATAAAAGTCAATTTTTGTGAAATTTATTGGCAATTTGATCATGCAAGAACCACATGTTGAGTCAGCATCTGTATGTTGGGCCTTTTTATTGAAAAATAAATGTCCCTGTGTCAAATTTTCCTCATGTCCAGGTGTCTGCAGGTGGGGGTCTCACTGTGTAGTTCATTGTAATGAGATTTTTGTAACATTACGCCAATGGGTAAATGCTGGGATCCAGAAAAATTCATTATAACAAGATTTTTTGTGATGGAATTCTACTGTAATATCTCTTGTCTCTATAACTGCATTAGCATAACCCAAGTGGGGAAATTGGTGCACACTGGGGATTTGTTTGTAATTCTACACAGTGACCCTGCTGTGCACCTGAAGTGTTATACCAAAGTTCTTCTGTTGCACATGCTTATCCCCAATTCTCACCAATTGTGTGTTCACACCAGGATTACTCAGGGTCACATTTGTAAACAAATAAGTCACACCAAGGTTACAGTTGGTGCATTTGTGTGATGCTCCTGTTACCGTATTTACTCAAGTACCATGCGCATCTTTTTTCTAGAAATTGAGGCAGAAAAAAGGGTGCGCATGGTACTCAGGGATAAATTTTAGGGAAAAATTCCCAAGACCAGTGCCCCTCACATCCAAGTAAAATAATGAAGAGGAAATGTGTGGCACCATGTCTCTCCCTGCATGGGGAATAATGGCTCAATTTGTTTCATCCCTTGGAAATGTAACAAGAAGTAAAGGAAGAAGGTAATTTTCATCTAACTGAGGAAGCTTTCCTATATTAAAAATGCATTTCAACTGCTTCTGTACATGGAAATAGACAGAAACACAAAATATTGATGAGGAAAAATGAATTTAGAAATAAAAAATATATGTAATTTTTTTTTTTTTTTCAGCAACAAAAAACAGGAGTGCGCATCTTACACAGGGATAGGTTTTTGAACAAATTTCTGGTGAAAGATTAGGGGTGTGCGCCATACTTGATGGCGCGTGGTACTTGAGTAAATATGGTATTTCCAATTTGTGCACCAAGTGTAACCCTGGAATGGTAGCAAAATTTCCTCTACAGGAGTGCACACTTGCTGTAACCCCAGAATATCCCATATATGCACCAGTTGTGACCCTGGTGTGCACCTACTGATGTGGGGTCACAGCAAAAATAGCTCCCCATTGGGGTTATGTATAGGAAGTGAGTGAGAAATGCCTCTCTCAGGTATACTGATGTACTGTAATGCTCAGTACAATATATTACCTGGTCTTGGACGTCTTGAGCGCCTGCCTGAGCTGCTCCTCCTCCTCCAACTTGCGCTTCTCCTGGGCAATCAACTGCCGGATCTCCCGCATGAACTTCCGCCGCTCGTCCACCAACTTCCGCCTGCAGTCCGACTGCCGTTGCGCCTGGGCTCGTCGCGTCTCGTCCTCACTTCCGGCCTCGTTCTCCTCGTACAACACCGGCTGGGCGGACAAGTTCCGCTCCAGCCGCTTCCGCCGCACCGGCGCCGACATCGTCATCAGCTGCTGCTGCTGCTGCTGCTGCAGTGGCGCCGGCCGCAACAACAAATCCGCCGCCGCATTATTCCCGCCGCCGCCTTCCCAGTATTCCGCCTCCTCGTCGAGTCCGATGAGCTCGTTGCTGGCGAAACTGACGCTTTTGCTGCGCTCTGCCCGACGGAACACGGTGCCTGGTGGACACATTTTGCCTTCTTCTTTTGTTTTGTTTGTGAGTGTTGTTTTCCTCTGCCAGCAGGGGCTCTTTTTTTCGGGAACGTTTTGTTCTGTTTCCCGCGTTATATACCGGCTTTGGAGCACACTCGCGAGACCCCACTGGGGAACTCTGTAAATAAATAATAACAGAGAAGAAAAATTGTTTAGGATAGTACAGTAAAATCTTGTTACAGTTGAACCTCTCTCTGTCAAATTTCTATAGGTACCAGGTCAAAATTTGACTTAAGGAGGTTTTGATTTTCTGAGGTTTGAGTAACAGAATCAAGCATTTTTGTCATATAGCAAACATAGAATAATTGCACAAAATTGTGTACAGTATCAGTTTGGCAAATAATTGTTGCCTTTATGTACATCATAAAGTCACAATTTTAATACAGCACATCAGTGAAATCCAGTTTAATATAGTTAAAATGAAGTCATTGAGACCTGTATAATAATTTTATCATGGCAAAGGATTTAATGTGAAGAAACTTGAATATCATTAATGTGGATATTAGGCAAAGACCTAAAACTGAATCTTTTGTGTGATCAATTACTTGTTATAGTGATATTTGTTGTGATATGACATTTCACTGAAAAGTATTTCACTCCAATTTTTTGAGGAATAGAGAATGTTCATGATTTCAAAAGTGTCCTTCCCATAAGTAAGTAAAAAAAGTTTTTGATAGTACAGTATATACTGTATTTGTATTTGAATAAAGATAATAATAAATATCGTTGGAATATAATCAGTGGAATAATATCACTCAAGAGACGTGAACGATTCGGTAGACGATGTGGCAAACACTCCTCCTGAATGTCTTCTCCCATCTCTGCGCTTGCGACCAGCAAATTAACAAACGTAGTGTGAGCAACCCCTCGATCGCGAAAGTCCGCCATTTTGTGAAAGATCGGGAACGCGACGGATTGCTCAGTCACGCGCGGTTTCTCGGTCATTCCCGAAAGGATGATCACTTGCTTCGAGTATGTGCACATCTTAAATTTTATGCGAAAGACGTGATTAAATTGGTTATTTGAAAGAGAGGCACCATGTGCTGAATAGTCTCACAAACGCGGCTCGAAATGTAAGTATACAGTGCTGTATATTGAAATGCTGTAGTACGTGTCTTTCATAATACTGTACCGCGTGGAGTGCTCAGTCTTCATTGACGAACGTACCGTAAACCTTTATACTGTTGTTATTATGGTAGTGTAATACATTAGAACTCCGATTATCCGGGTTTTGAACAACCGTGAGCTTACATTTATTCCGATTCATTTCTAGGAAAGGGATTGAAACAATAATGTACTTACTCAAAAATCATTTACACTATTTTACAGTATTAACTTGCTCAGACTTCTCGCATCGCAAATCACCGAGAATATCGGTAAAATCAGGTCACGTCGTGAATAAATGACCTTTTCCAGCAGTTTTAAAAATTAATTTCCCGCACTGTATTTTATTCTTGCGATACAGAGTGATGCCGCGTACGAAAAAAACTAATTTATTTTTCGTAGGAAGTGGTTTCGTTTTGAAGAACGCGCGTGGGTATAATTTCGAGATGGACTGCGCTGACGGGGAAATCGAAATTTTCATTGATCAGCGGCTAATCGTCGTAATTAATTTAAGGCATACTTTGCACCAACAAGTACTGGTTCGTTTCACGGGTTGTTGTACTGCGTTCGTTGAATGATGATTTTTCACTGAGTATGCTGATCATCCGGGCAACGTCGACGCGGTCATCCCGAATATAACCGGAGTTCTAACGTATGTTTTCCAGAACAAAATGGGAATCTGCACTCTAATGGTGAAATTTACTGTCATTAGAACATGAACCACCTTGTCACTCCACACAAGAAACATCGGACTGACTGAGGTATATACACGCGGTTTCTTTTCTGATCAACAACGTGTTACCATGAGAGAATAAGGAAGTGCTGATGTATCCGAGGTCAGCTCGCGATATCGCTTTCGCGGAAAGAGTCACCAGCGTATGATGTAGACTTGTGTGACGGCGAACTCCTTTCGCGTAAGTAGAATTCTTTATTCCTTTTCATCCGTATGGAATAATTCGCAATGATTCCGAGAAGTCTCTCGCTCGCTCGCGCTGGGCTGGATTCGGATCCTTATCGCGTTTATTCCGTGTTTTACGATTCCATTAATATTTCTATGTATACCGTTTACCCGAACTTCCTAGATTGTGTGCGTTTTGAGAAGACAAGGGTCGTGATTTCGTGAATAAATTTCAGTTGTGAACGTATACGTGCGTGTCCGTTCAACTTTTCTTGCGATCATATATGAAACCGCGAACTTGCGCCCGTGACTCTCGGTGTATTCTATCAATTTTCATGTGATCCTGATTTCGATCTGAATCGTTATGCTGTCCTCTGTACAAATAGACTGTATCATTCTAATGTACGAACCCTTTCGAAATATTCTTTCAACGGTTTATATATCGGTGATCGCGAATGAGATCGTCCTCGGTATGAAACGCAGTTGTATACTTTCGTTGCGATTGTGGGATAAACTATCCTTCCGCGATTTTTCCCCCTTTTTTGAACAAATATGTAATGATGGTATGAATAAAACGATTTGAACGTCCTGCGCATTTTCTCTCTTATTCGTGATTAGTGCTGAATGTATAAGTGGGATCGGTGGATATGAGAAGGGAACGCATTATTTTCCATGGGTTATATTGTGCCTTACAAGCATTACGTTTCACATGTGCGAGGCATCATCAGCCACGGGATGACAAATGTCAATGAATCGAATGATGTATATTCAAACATATGAGTAAGCCGAATTGAATTTCACTTTGTTTTGATAGGATTGACAAAAGGCTTTTTCGAATACATCCATCTTTTTCTCCCTGGATAATTGACTTTCGATTTGATGACGAAACCCTATCCTCTCTTGTTACCGCGCGCATAACTTTTCGTTTTCGGGATTCGTAATTTGTTTCTTCATAAATGACGCAATGAGGAAGGTCATCGTTTCTTTGATTCTGCCTCGTCTATAGGAAATATAAGGGTGTCGGATTTCTTCGGGGAAAGTCGCCTTCGTAAAATGTGATATCTGGAAACATATCTGTGTTTGACCTCAAAGAAAATCTATCGCGCACCACCTTCGGTTCGTTGGATATTTTTTTTGTGGCTCTTATCCGTTTCCAGGGATATTTTCGAAACTCACTGGGGAACTATGTATGCACAGGCAGCACTCGTATGAATGAGACACACTGTGACCAAAGAATCCTTTCGTCTCCGGTAAAAGTCACTTGGTTTCACGATATGACCGTTCCATTGCAGTCGGGATGACGACGCACGCGTTCTGAGCCATCCGCGATCTGCGCTTCTGAACAAAATGCCGCGAACGTTTCCTTCGTCCTGCACCGGCGCGGGGGTGTTGCCATGCATTCAATAAGTCTCTGTCTCATTTTTCTTTCACTGTACAGTACATGTAGTGACAAGGGTTACCATCACTGACATTGGCTTAGTATATGGACTCCCTATATGTACAGCGACGATGTCTTTCATTGTCTTATACCGCATGGGCGGTCGATCTGACGTTGTTGGGGGCGCTGAGCCGCCGCAACACAAGAAAAACGGCTGTGGATCTTTAAAAGAGAAACACAGAATCAGTCCTGCACCAGGGCCGGGAATTCACAGAGGAATCCCAAATTAAAGCTCAAGAATACCGGTATATCTCGAATTTGTCCCAAGTATAATAAGAGTTCAAGATAATTTGGCAAAAACGCAAGTTTTCATCAACACTACTGTAAAATTAGAGGAAAAAACCTCTCAGCAAACCAGGAAAAAACTCTGTTCTGCACAAGACTCAAAATAATTGAACTAGTGAGGAATTGAAAATGAAGAAGGGGTATTTATTAATTTCTGTTTCTGTCCTTGATCAAGGATGGAAATTTGTTGAGGCCTGGGATTGGCCGAAAAAGGGGTGCTTTATTGAAGCCAACTTGGTACCATAATAAAGGTGCTTGAAATTTTGGGGAGGGAAAAAATGGTTGAAGATTTTTCTTCTTCCTGTATGGTCTACTTTCTATATACTTGAGTGGTTTTCCACCCAAGTAACTTTTTTTAGACTAATGAATTTTATTGATGGAAGAGGGGGTGCAGCAAGTCTAACAGATGTCATAGCCTGCTGCCCAAAAGGCATCCTGTGTGTGTATACTGTGTTTAATGTGATTTACTGATGGGGTGCTAATAATTGTCCCAAAAAGCCTCTGCTGTTTTCCTAATTTGTTAGAATGTCAATAAAACAGATTCTAATCTTCCTCAGATGTGTCTGTGAAATTTGTTATTTCTATCATGCTGTCTTCAGCAAACCATCATAGGAATAACTTCAACTTCAAGAAGATTCTTTTCTTATGGCCAGGGTTGTGAATAGTGAACTTAATTGGCTTCTTGATACCAAGGTAATGGGTGAATCTATTTCAAGTGTACAACTGTACAAGTGACCACAACAGTGGTATTCAGACCAGCAATGAGGATAATACACTCAGGCATTTTCATAGATTTGGGCCTCTTGCAAATAAAGGCTGAACAGAAATGAAATCTGGGTGTCTGGAAAGGCAAATGGCAGGTGACCAAACAGCAATGTTGTAACATTTTCTGTGCAATTTGGTTGCTATATAGGCAGATACTGAAATGTTGAAACTATGTGCACAAGAATGGGATATTGTTGACACTGAGACAATTCAGATAACATTTTACATATTTCAGTGGCCCCCCGCCTAACATACCTCCCGTGCAAGGGATTTTTGCCAAACAGACCAGCTTTGCAAGCAGTTTTTCCTCCTGCCCAACAGACAAAATCCGCCAAACAGACTTCTTTTGGTTTGAAATTAGTGTTGAAAATTGAAAATTTTAATTTTTTATGTAATTGAATTTGTGTAAAGGACTTTTTGTCTTAACAGACTCGTCCCTTGCACAAATCAAGTCCGTTAGACAGGGGTTGACTGTATGTACCAATACAGTATACTGTACTGTAATTTCCTGAGTATACAGAACCTGGTGCACTTTTCTCTGCAAAATCAAGGCAGAAAACCACATGGCCTATGCTGTAGGTATACACTTTCTTGAGCAAAACTTTTTTTAATTGGTGGTGGGAACCATAAAATATTACTTTGTGTATGTGAAAATGATGCCAACTTTCCTTTTCATCAGATACTTTGGACCGGCATCAATAAATACTGTTATATTACTGCATGACGTCGCCTTATCTCGTCTCTCTCTCTTTATATTTAGCATAATCCGCAATTCCCACGAAAGCCTCATTTTCTGCGATGATGGGGAATGATAAGAAGAAGGAAGTTGTGCAAGCGTCCGGGATTATGATGGCCGTGCTTGAACCCGCACAGGAAGGATGAGTGACGTCACTGACGTGTCATATATCATGTCCCCAGTGCGTGTGAGTATCGTTTATTTATTCATTCATTCCTTCTCTTCCTCATCTGACAATCCTATGGGTGATCCATATACTTTATATATTATAATGCCTTAATCACTATGTAGCTTAGGTTGTTGAACTATGCATCGCAGACCCCCGGATACGGACATAATTGGTGCATCAAGAGTGTCCCTAAGTTGAGTCTCGTTTTCCCATAGACTTACATTATATAACTATATAACAGTATGGGCTATATTATTATTTTTATTCAATCACACTCTACTTTAGAAATGCAGTTTCAGAGGTCGCGCTGAACTGGGACAAACCCTTTTACTGTATATTCTGTGAGTTCTTGTTATAGTGCAACAAAGCTGTTGCGGCCATGAATAAAAGCTTTGTTATTTTAATAAAACAAAATTCAATTTGAAGCATTGCAAATAAAAGTGTTGCCATTGGACAGGGACCTAAAAAAAGAATTTGTTTCAACAAATGTTTTTTTAATAAATGAGATTCATTGTGATGAGATTCTACCATTCACTAAAAACACTGGATTGTATTTTATTGAGTACCAGCTGCACCTTTTTTTTTAAAAAAAAAAATGAGGGTGCAAGTCATATATGCAAGCAGGGATAATGTTTTGAAAATATCTTGAAAGTTTAGGAGCATGTCACGCTTGATTCTAATGGGACATTTTGGACACATTTGAAGAGCAATGTCTTTCATTGAAACCATTGAAAAATGATTGAATTCAGATTCAAATCATGTCCAAATTGTAATTCTGGTGTGCTTATATTTCTGAAATATTGCAGTCACTAATGGGGTGTATATCTTGGGACATCATTTTATAAGCTTTTTGGGTTGAAAAATCCAGATCCTCTCTTATACTTGAGTGTGCATGGTACTTGAGTATAAATAGGGCATACAAATTTTTTGTGGTTGGATTGTGATATTTTTGTAGTGTCTGTGAGCGTATATAGACAGGGTTGGGTTTAGCAACTGATGCTGCTGTGTTGATAATTTCTTCATGTACTCTTTCATCCTGAGTTGGTACTGATGCAATCCTGGTTCATATTGTGTTATCCATTCCATTTAATATACTGTATATATAGCTATCTTAAACTATGTTTCTGAAGCAGTCACTCAGGTGTAGTTTTTTTTTACAAAGAAAGAAAAAGAAAATTTCACCTTTCAATAGTTATTTCTTTATACTCAGTTGAGACCTTCTATTCCTTAATTTAAAAGAAAAGAGTGAAAAGGGAGAGCTGCAGCAACATTTATAAATTCAGTGAAAGAAAAATGCTCTGAATTTGATATTGAACAAGGATAGCATTACTGTGCATTCAGTTCTATCCATATATTAAAATATATAGTGGATGGGTTATCAACTGATGCTGCTGTGCTGCCTTTTCATTTCAGCATTCATTCTTTCATCCTGAGTTGGTACTGATGCAATCCTGGTGTATTGTGGTATCCCATTCCATATTTACAGGGTATTATGACCCCAATTCTTGGAAGAGTTTATGGAGAGGAATATTTCTTTAAAAAAAAATTCTCTCCATAGGACCCTTGTACAAATAAGTCATAAAAATTAAGCGGTGTGATATAATGTAATACACAGTACAGTCAAAACTCTTCAAGTTGATATTGGAGAGGAACCCAAAAACAATTTTGACTGGAGGAGTTTTTGAGTTAGCAAAACAAGTACAGTACAGTATTTCAATTTGGGGTACATGAAGAATCACAATGGGAAGATTAAATTGGTAATTTTAAAATATTTTAAGATTTAAATATAATTTTCAGAATAGTTTTTGAGTTAGTAAAACAATTACTGTACAGTATTTCAATTTGGGGTACATGAAGAATCACAATGGGAAGATTAAATTGGTAATATTCTGGAAATTATATTTGAATCTTAAAATATTTAAATATTACCAATTTAATCTTCCTTTTGCATTTAATCTGGAAATTATATTTAAATCCTGGATGTATATAGAGGATTTATGACAAGATACTGAACTTGGAAGAAAGGGTTGTAATTATCCAGTTATAGTCAATTGCTCAATTCCTTTTGAAAAGCATCAAGTTAAATGTATATTCCTCTTCTCATCCTGCCTGAGTCCCAATATAATTACAGCCCAAAGGCCTTTATTCAAAGTTCCAGTTTTTGAGGTTTGAGAGAGAAAAATACTGCATATGTATTTTTATTCATCTTACTGTACTTTCAATATTGCTCAAAATTTATATATAGAGAGAGTCCATCTGTATTCGGTATCTAGGTGGTGGCACGCTGTGTTTATTCAGCAATGAAGCCTTCAAATTTCCATAGCTGACGTCAGCTGGTCTGTGTTGTCTTTCCTGAGGTTGTTTGCCCATGAAGATCTGGCGACACTCGGAGAAGTCGCTCAATGCTCCAGTTCCTGTCAAGTACCATGTTTTTATTGTGATTCTTGCCTTATCTATAGTGTATTTACAAAAGTCAGGTGTTCCAACTCAGCAGCGACCACAGGAGGGAAAACTGAGCGCAGACAAACTGAGCGACGTTTTACCTGATGATCCGCAGGAAATTCCTCTCTGTAGATCAAGATACAGTATACGCATTCATATAGAATAAGAAAGTCACCATAAAAAATAAATTAATCATATAAGAAGTAAATTAGCCATCAGAAATAAATTAATCATAAGAAATAAATTAATCATAAGAAATAAATTAATCATAAGAAATAAATTAATCATAAGAAATAAATTAATCATAAGAAATAAATTAATCATAAGAAATAAATTAATCATAAGAAATAAATTAATCATAAAAAACATAAGAAATAAATTAATCATAAGAAATAAATTAATCATAAGAAATAAATTAATCATAAGAAATAAATTAATCATAAGAAATAAATTAATCATAAGAAATAAATTAATCATAAGAAATAAATTAATCATAAGAAATAAATTAATCATAAGAAATAAATTAATCATGAAAAGAAATTAATCATAAAAATAAGAAATTAAT